GGAGGAGGCCACCAAGGAGCAGTGGATGGGTTGAGATAAGCAGGAGTAGACTCCTCATTTGAGAGGTTTCAGAGTAGACAAAACGGAAGGGAGAGGGAAGCAAGGGATGATGGAATTCTGGGAATGTATGCAGGAGAGAGAAGAACAGGCCCGAAACCAAGCATGTCAGTGGGTGAAGAGAGATGGTGGAGGTTCTGGAGAGAGACAGATGTCTGAGTTCTCTCTTGCTCTCAGTTTCTCCAATGTATTTGGTACAAATCAATAGTTGGAGGCAAAAAGAGAAGCACCACCCGGGAGCCTAGAGGCGACTCTCAGCCCACTGGACTGACTGGCAGTTGAATGCTTGTGGCCCAGGATGCAATGCTAATTGACCTCTGTGGTTCCAGGGATTCTGGGCCGCCTCAATGATGCTGGGGGCCCTCCAGAACTGTACCTAGTGATCCTCAGGGGACCATGCAGTACCAGAAATTGAACCCAGGTCAAGTACATTCCAAGCATGTGTCTTAACTGCTGTGCTGTCTCCTGGCCCCTGTTTTCCTTTTATTCTCAGTTAACCCTCTGCCTGGGTGAGGAGGCTGATGATTTCAATCTCCTATTCTCTGTCTCATTTTCTCAGTCTTCATGATTTCCCTAGTCCTGGGAACAGTTTCATTGTTCTCCTCTCCTTCCTCCCTTGTGCTCTCTGCACACAAAAATCCCTTTATGTAGGCTTTATTCTGTTCCCCATCACCACCTCAAGGGTGGATTTGGGGAGCTACCTATTAAACAATGAAAGGCCCCAAAGACCTTGAGCCTTCTCAGAAGACACAGTTGAATAAACTGAAAGTGGACAATGCTTTTCCTAGTTATCACCTCCCAGGACAGCCGAGTTCAAGGGCAGCTAAGGTGAAGTCCTGGCAGCTAAGGGCATTCAGGCAGGACTGGCTCCTGCATGTTCATCAGGCACCTGAGCTGAGCGAGCGAGGGGTCATATATGTGTTGCCCAAGTGAGCACACCGGTGAGGGGTTTGGAACAGGATGACCCAGAGCAAAGGCCATATCAGGCTCAGCGTCTATACCAGGACTGCAGATGAGAACCCACAGGCCCACACATGGTCCTGGCCCATTGGAAAGAGTGCCCAGCCTTGTCTTCTGCTAGATAACACTGTCATTCTTGGGGATGGGCCATGTATTTTTGGCATGTTTGAGTTGTTTTAAAATCAGAAGTCAGTGTTAGAATGTGAGTAAGGTGGACTGGGAAAGGCTAAAGCCAGGGTGGGGAATATTCAGCCTATGGACCATATGAAGGCCGCAAAATCATGGGCTCATGTACCACCCTGGTACATGACAGAACACACATGTGTGATTCTTCTCATCATCTGCTCATGGCACATATGCCTGTAGTGTGTTCCACGAATGATGTTATAAATATCCAAATGGTCCTTGGCAGGAAAAAAAAAATTCCTTAGTCCTGGGAACAGTTTCATTGTTCTCCTCTCCTTCTTACCTCGTACTCTCTGCACACAGAAATCCCTTATTTACACTCTGTTCTGTTGCTTTAATTCCCCATCACTACCCCATCGACAGCTCATTGTCTCCTCAGCCTCTTGGGTTTCTCACTTCCATGAGTAACCAGGTCCAAGACTTGGTCTCCTTTGTTCCCAGATCGGGGCAAGTGTTCTAGAATGTGCCCATTTGGCATCACAAGCTGTATTCCTGCCCTTTCTGTTTTCCCGGGCAGAATTAGTCACTCCTTGCCTTTCTGAAGGCTCTGGGATTTTCTTGGCCTCAATATTTAGACTTGTTTGTGATCATTTTTCTATTTCTGTTGTTCTCTCCCTACTCCCCTGTGAGTCTTCTTGGTCACTTTGGCCTTGGTCCTCTCAGAGTGTCTCAAAATGCCTCTGGAGTAGATAAAATAGAACCTGGTGGAGCTACCAGTGAAGGGGATTCAGAATTAAATAGGTAAGAACGCAAAGGTTCAGTAACTGGGGCTGGATCCATTGCACAGTGGGTAGGGCATTTGCCTTGCACGCGACCAACTTGGGTTTTCGATTCTCAGCATCCCATATGGTCCCCTGAGCACAGCCAGGAGTAATTCCCGAGTGTAAAGCCTGGAGTAATCCCTGTGCATCACCGGGTGTGACCCAAAAGGCAAAAAAAAAAAAAAAAGGTTCAGTTACTTGTCAGCATTGATGTCAAAGGGCAGAATGTTCCAGAGGCTCCAGTGTAGACAGGTTTGGAGTGGGGAATGAAGGAGTCGGCTTTGATACAGGTACATCTAAGCACGGGTGGGTCTGGTGTGCACTGCATGCCTGTTCACAGTGTTGATGTATGGGGTGGGGCTGGAGAGAGGGCAGCATGCAGATTACAGGCACATGGATCAGGAGACGTGTCTGCACGCACACCCTCATCTGCTGTTGCAGGGCACTGCGCCTCAGGTGTTGACATGCGAGGGTGGCGCCTTGGTAAGTCACCGAGTTGTTTCAGGGGATGGTTTAGCCTGTAAGACAGGCCCACAGACAGGGTAGGACTCTGGCAAAGTGTCACATCCTTTGGGTCCTGTGACAAAGTACCTGCTAGTGTCCCCCCGTGGGTTCACCCTCTGCCCTCCTCCTTTCTCTGGGTTGCCATGTCCAGTGTTTCTGGGTCTGAGCACCTGTTGACCCTGCATGCCATTTCTCTCCTTTCTCTCCCTCCTGCAGTCGGTTCTGAACGTGATCAGTGAGCTGCAGGAGCAGATGTGTAGGCTGCAGCTGGACATCCACAGACAGATTCAAGAGCGCCTCTTCCTCAGTAGGGCCCTCCCTGAGGAAGGGGTGGCTGAGCCTCGGCCCAGCAGCCAGGATTGTGCCCAGTGGGAGGGGTCACCTGTAGGAAGCACACTTAAGTATATCAGTGCATGCTCGTGTGGTGGCCTTTCCCCGGGGGTGGGCCGGGGCTTTCTCCTAACAGAACTGAGTGCAGTGGCTTAACATGGGCCTGCTCTTCCCACCTCTGGGCAGACTTCGGGCCTCACTCTCTTCCTTTGGGGTGGGAACTGAGCTGGGCAGTGGCTGAGTGGATGTGCCAAGCCCCCCAGTGGGTGATACCAGAAGAAGGTATGTTAGGTGCCCTGAGAGTTGGGGTAAAGGAAGTTTCAGGATTCTTCCTCCTCAGGCGTGCTTCAGTTAGGGGTTCTCCTGGGTTCAAGAGTTACATGATTTTTCACACCTTTTTTGTTTCCTAAGAAAAAGTAACACATAAGAACGCTTAACTTTATTTTTATTTTCTAAATGAGGGGCAGCTCACTGGCTGGTGATCAAAGGCTATTTCTGGGTCTGTTCTCAGGAGTGACCCTTAGTGGTGCACGTGGTACCATATGCCATGCTGGAAAGGAAGCTGGAGCTTGCCTCAGTTGCCCCATCCATAATGCAGCTCAGAAGAGGAGGGAAGTCTCTCTCTGGCCTGAGGCAACAGGGAAGAGCCCTGTGGAGAAAATTCCCTCAAAGATGAAGTGGAGAAAGACAAGATATTTGTGTAAAATTGAGTAACAGACTCTGAGAAAGGAATGCTGGTCTTCTCATGTTGAGTTGGGTTATCTCAGAGAGACTTCTAAAGAAAGACAAAATTTCCATCAGTGTATCTAGTCAGCAATAAGCAACAAATAGCATTGTAGGCGGAGATGTGCTTAAGAAGTCACAAGAGTCACCAGGTCTATGACTCCTGGTAACCATCACACAGCAGGCCTGGCTCGCCAGACCCACTCACAACAAACGGAATAGACTGAATAGCACAACTACCAAGTTCTGGATGTTGGCACCCATAAGGCAGGGCCCGAAAGGTTCTCAGAGAATGACTTTGGGTCTGCTGCATGACACAATCAGTCCAGTCCAGTCCAGTGCAGTCTAGATCCTAAGAGAGAGGGAGAGAGTGTAGGAGAGAAGGAGAAAGATACCAAGGAAAGAAGCAGCCACAGGTGGAGGGAAATGCCGTAGGGATGTGTTGTGGGACTCAAACGAATGCTATGCATGGTGTCAACTAATTAGTTTGTTGGATGAGTCTGGAGTTCACAATGTCTTCATTTATGCTCATTTTTCTTAAAGAAGATGGGACCATTTAGTCTAAGGGAAGCCTGCATTGGGATATGGAGGTTCAGGGGTGTCTTCATTAAAGGGGGTAGTTTCAGTAACAAGGAGACTCTGGAATCAGAAGACATGGTCTGAATTCCAGCTACACCATGGAAAGATTGTTTAAGCACTACTCAACAACGCCTGGTGGTTTCCTACTGGACAAAGAATGGCCCCAGAACTGCTTATATTCTCATCTGTCAGCCTTTGGATGGGCCCCACTGCGGTCCTTCCACCACACGTTGCACTTCCTCTGCTCCAGCCCAGCAGACTGTCTTCCTTTCTACCTCTTAGCTTCGCTGTCTGTTTAGATATCTCAGGCCTCCCTCCTTTTCCCAATACCTTAGGTCCTGGTCTCTCTCAAACATGAACACCTAGCCCTCTTTGCATTGCCTCTTGAGTGAACTTGTTCTTTAAGAGTTTGCTTCCTGCCCATATCTGTCACTGCCAATCTGAAAACTTCCAGGAGCACCGAGTCCCTGCTCTGGTTTCCTAGATCTCTCCCACCACATGCATGCACGCACATGTGCATGCGCGCAGACACACACACACACACACACACACACACACACAAACACACACCCATGCACATTTAGCCTACTTCTTGTCCTTTGCAAGGAGCATCTCTGTGATAAGATATTGTTGTCTCAAAGGGCAGTAGAGGAGGTTTTGGAAACTAGGAGGAATTATTTTCACATCTGACATAACTTGGGCTTCATTTTCAAGTGACCAGAAAGTTTTGTCTGAAGCCAGGACCGTATTTCAATGTTGGAGCTTCAGTGTGTAGCTTGATATGGTTATTCCTGCTGGGGCGAGGGGAGGGGGTGCTCTGTGCATGAGCTTTGCCAGGGCTGTGGAAGAGACCATTCTGCTCTCTAATCATGGAACATTGTCTATCTTTTTTGCCTCTAGGAGCTACTGCAAGAGCTCAGGCACCTCAAAATCAAGGTGGAAGAACTGGAAACTGAACGGAATCAGTATGAATGGAAGCTGAAGGCCACTAAGGTAAAGACTCTGATACTTATACAGAGAATGGAGGCCCAGTGGAAGGATTTATATTCAGTCTCGGAGTTTGCAGTGGTTTAAATGGGAAATGCAGATTGACTTGACTGTGCCTAGGCAAGAGGACCCAGATTGCTTGGCAGACAGCTTTGATCAGGGAGGGCATTTCTTACAGGGAGAACAATGAGGCTGGTAAAATAGAGTAACTGAGTCTCTTGCTCACGTGTCTTTCAGCATCAGACTGAGTGAGGAAGAGGCTGGCGGAATGTGTGAAAGAGTATGTGAGTGGTTGAGTAAGGGAGGGAGAGAGGGAATACAAAAGTATATGAGCATGTGAGTGAGATATTTTGTGTGCGGGTGGGAATGTGAATGAGTGAGTGGATGAATGAATGTGAGTGTGTGGGTGAGTGTGTGAGTGAGTGGGTGAATGAGTTGAGTAAGAATGAGTGGGTGTGTGAATGAATGGTGAATATGATGATTCTAAGGCAGTTGACCACTCACATCAGTAGTGGTTGCCCCTCTTGGGTATTTAAAAGTATGGGGTGACTGAGATTGCTCAATAGGCTGAGTGCATACTGTGCCGACACCACGTGGTTCCCTGAATAGGGCTGGGATCAACCCCAGAGCATGAAACTGGTAGTAGCCCCCAAGCATTGCCAGGTGAGGCTGAAAATAAAAAAACCAAAAAACAATAAAAATAGGTATGCTTTCTTTGCAGAAAGGAAGACAGTCCTTAAAAAAATGATATAAACATGGCATAGTTTTTAATCAAATGATGTTTCTACTTAACAGGGGGTGCTTGCTAGTTAAATAACACCAAGGGTCAATTCTTTCAGGAATTGAGTTCTCTCCTCTTTTCATTTCTTCTTTTGTTTTCTCTAATAATGAAAATGGGCTTTGCTCACATTTATTGTTTGGGTCTGTGTTTAAAGGTTTATTTTGAATATTATGCTTAAGGATGTTGAATTAACTATCACTTATGCATTAGGAAATTTCCACAATAATATACAGAGTTAGTTTAAAATCCCCTATTTCTTATTAAGGAAATTATGTTTTCTCTATTTGTCTCTTGCAGCTTTTATGAGAATAAAATAGTAGAGGAGAAAGTGCCTCACAAATTTGAATGGTGTGTAAATAAAGAACTTATGTATTAAAAATAGAAAAATTTTAAGCCAGTAAAAATTCAAGGACTAGAAATCACCCATCTGCCACACCAAAGCTACTATATTTTTCTGGGCATTAGTGTATTGGGTCTTTCTTTTACCCCTCACTATCTTTTCAATTTCTGGTGTTGATAATGTAGAAACAATGTTATACCACAATGCTATATATATCACTCATAGCAAATATGAACAGAATGTGCATATAGTATTCTAATGTAAAGTTTAAAAAAATATTGGGGCCAGAGTGATAATACAGCAGGTAGGGGCTTGCCTTGCAAGTGGCTCACCCAGGTTCGATCCTGGCATCCCGTATCATCATCCCCCATGTTCCTCCAGGATTGAGTCCTGACTGTAGAGCCAGGAGTAAGCCCTAAACATTGCTGAAGGTGCCTCCCCCCCCCCCCAAACAAAGCAACAACAAAAATTATTTTTTTAACCATTTTACAGATGATGAAACAGAGGCACATAGTGGTTAGTTAATTTTCTCAAGCTCTTACAGGTATTGAGCAGCAACCCTCCATGATTCAGATTCACCTGGTTTCCTGTTTTATTATTATTATTATTATTATTATTATTATTTTCATTTCCCCCTTTCCCTTTTTTTTGTTACTGTGGTTGCAATTACTAGATATCACACACAGGTGTGATTGTCCCTTGGGGTTCGCAGGGGTAGGTTAGTTGTGGTGCTCGCATGCTTGCTTGTACTCAAGTATTGTTGAGGCTCATGCACTTTCTGATTATGCTCATCAAGAGGGTCACTGATGCTCACACCTGTGCTTACCCATGGTCACACTTCGGGTCACAGTGCTCGTCTCTCATTTGTGTTGCTTACTGTGCTGTTGTGGGCTAGCAGTGGACTGGTGGGTGCCATGATTTGCAGTTCCCAGCTAGAGTCATCATCCTTTCTCAGATAGCTCAAACCTTGCCCTCCTGGTTTCCATTCATTCGAGCCCTGTCTTGGTGAAACCTTTGAAGTTGTTCATATAAAGTTCTCTTATAAAATGAACAACTCCTTGCTTGTCAAATTACTTGTGTGCTCTGCCTTGGCTTGTAGAAATCGGCAGTACAGAGGGTTCTGTAATAACCCCGAAAGTTGGGGTGCCTCCTCTCTTCCAGGCAGATCAAGCTCTTTGCACATGTTTTCTCATCTGACCCACAGAATGGCCTGGTGAGGACCACTGCTTTATTATCTTCATTTTGCTGGTGAAGAAGCTGAGTCTCAGAGTGGTTTGAGTTTAGATCATTCCAGAATTCCAGCTTTTATTCTCTATTATCCTGGTTCCCTGTAGTTAAAACCTGTGCTTTTTTCCTTCCTTCCTTCCTTCCTTCCTTCCTTCCTTCCTTCCTTCCTTCTTTCTTTTTAAGGTTTTCTGTTAAATCTCTTAGCTATTTGCAAGTGATTCCTATTCCAGTGTGACAGGGGCTGGGGCCCTAAGTTTGAGGGCCTGTAGGGACCCAGAGTATCTGTCTCTGCCCAGTGACAGGGTGTATATCTGGGCCCTGATCTCTTGCTGCCTGCTCTTGCCTGCAGAGCTGTGCAGTTGTGGTGACCATGGCTAGCTTTGTCCTCATGCTCAGGTACAGGGTGACTGCATTGGGACTGGTGTACCCAAGGCTACCTGGCTTATCCTGTGGGTATTGGTGCATAGGATTTTGGTTCTAGCCATGTGATCTATCATGTTTTCAAATATGTGACCCTGGGGCTGGCAAGACAGCTCAATGGTCTGAGTGCATGCTTTGCATACTGGAGGCCCAAGTTCGATCCTCCTCAGCATTACATGGTCTCCTGAGCACAGAAGGGGGAGAAACTCCCAAGCCCAAAGTTGACAGTAACCCTTGAGTACTGCTGGGAGCAGCCTAAGATCCCCTCCCCCACAACAAATGAATATAAATAATGAATGACCTCATCCAGAGACAGGTCTCAGAGAGAATGACCTCATCATGCCAGGTGATACCAATCTCATGCCACTGATGTCCCCTGTGGGGACTGCAGACCAGCACTGGACCTCCAAATGCCCAACAGACCTGCTCTTCCTGTTTGCAAAGAGAGGAAGAAGTGGTGTGGAGCTGGCACAGGTTAAAGGGATATTTTCTGGAGCTGTCTGCTCCTTGTCAGGGAGGTGAGTCTCAGGGTTCACAGATATCACGGTCACCACTGAGTCGACCTTTCTCTGTGCTTTGGGTGGGGATGTGGGGGGAGGGAACCAGAGCAGACACACAGTGCTTCTTAGGGAGTCGGGAGTAAGGAAACCCCCATTCCTGGCTGTCTTGTCCTCATCCCCCACCGATGCAGAAGCAAGCAGACTTTGGTGGGTGAGTCGGTGTGGATGCCTGGCCTGGGTTTGCACTAACCTGGTCACTGAATGCCTCTGTGATTGTGGTATTGGATCCTCTGCTATCCCTGTTTTCTTCACCTGCAAGAGTACTTCTTTGATGGCTTCCTGTGAGGGCTGAGTGAGGTTTGAGTGAGGAAACATCGAACAGAGGGATGGATGCTATGATGTGCTCAGTGTGGCCTAAAGTAAACTTGTGGGGTGGTGAGGAGCCAGCAGCAGCAGCAGCCATGCTCTTTCAGTTACTTGTACACATTGAACGGTACACTGAGGCCTCTGTTGGAAGTGTCAGCTACCCCAAATGTCATACATTGAGTGTAGGTGGGATCTGATGGTACTAGGTGGGGGCAGAGGGAGATGGACGAGCAAGGGATGAGCTAGAGTAGTTAGCAGTCTTTGCTATGCCTTTCCTTCGCTGGTTTGGAGCCGACTCTCAGAATTCTTCCTTTTCTTAAAATTATTTTTATATTTTTGTCTTGGCACTCATTCCTAGTAATGCTTAGGGGATCATGCGGTGCTAGGGATTGAACTCAGGGTCTCACACATACTAGGCATGTGTACCTGGAAACCTCAATCCCTTTTTTGTCTTTTCTTTCTTTTTTAAGTTTAAAACGCACTTAATCAACAGGTTAGGTCAAAATGGACAACAGAAACAAGATAATCCCAAGACAATGGTGTATAAGACTGCTGTTAGGCATATTAATACACCTCGTCTCATCCTCTTCATTGACACTGTCTGTCTACACTAGCCTCTGCATAATTCTTCTTGTGAGCAGCTCTGGGTTTCAGAACACTGTCCCTTTTCCATGATTTCACCCACATACCAGTGAACAAAGGCATGCCAGGCATACATCTTATCAACGAGGCATACAACACATCAGTTGTCTAAGCAAGCCCAGATCCCAGTGATGGCCATGGTGTTGGCCCCCTGTTCTTTGGCTGGTCTCCACCAACTACTACAGCAAGAGACTGGTAATTAATACCAATTTTTAAACCATTGGGACACCAATCTACAAACTGAATGGTACACTTGGTCTTGATTTCATAAAGATCTGGGGATCACCTGTATAGTTACCACTTGCACATGTAGGTGAATATGTGTGTGCACTTGTGTAGCTGTTCTTCACAAGCATGCTTGACTTGCAAACAGATGTATGTTTAGAACACTGAATGTTTGTATGTATGTATGTATATATGTGCATATGTGAGAGTGTGTGCATGTGTCTGGCAGATGGGCAGAAGCGGTACCCGAAGAGTAGGATGGTATTTCAGGAAAGGAAATCTTGGCTTATTCTGCCCACTATTCCTGGCATAGAGTGGAAAGATGCAAGATTGTTAGACTTGTATATACTGTGTGCAAGTGTACGTACAGTGCATTTAAAATTTGAGAGATGGAAGACCACATCCAGGATTATCATATCTGGATCAAGAACAGACCTTTATTGGACAGAAATCTAGCTCTAAGGGGGTGAGGGGGTGGTCTCTGTAATGATTGGGTCTCAAAGAGAGAGGAGGGGAAAAGCATGATCAGGTAGGAAGAAGAAGGGGTTAGGAAATGCTTTTCAGCTGTCAAGCACTTGCTTTGCATGTGTGAGGTCCTGCATTAAATTCCTGGCACCAACGAAACCAAAAATAAAACCCAAACAAAGAAACACAAAACCCCAACACAAACCAAAAAAAGAAGAAAAAGAGAGCCCTGAATTGTGTGCAGGGCCTAAAGGACCAGAAGTGAGCCTTCAGCAGAGCGCCACCTTGTGGGGAGGAGATAAGCACTACTAACTGCTCGCCTCAAGCTAACATCCTGCCTTATCCTAGGGCCTGTTGGTTTGCGCTCTGATTTAAAGCATGCCATCATGGTCTGGTAGTCCTTCTGATGTGGTTAAAATCCTTTGTTGCTCTTCCAGGCTGAGGTAGCCCAGCTGCAAGAGCAGGTGGCCTTGAAAGATGCAGAAATTGAACGTCTGCAGTGCCAGCTTTCCCGGACATCAGCTCTCCATGGTGACCAGGCAGAGAAAGGTAACTAACTTGAGTGTGACAGAAGGCAGTTGCCCCTGGGCACTGTGTTTTCTTTTGAATGGGCATGAGTGTATGTTTTGTTACACCTCTGAGAGCAGGTGTGCCAATATGCATGCGTATGTGTGCAAACATGCCCAGATGAATGGGTGCATGCATATGTGGGCATGAAGTGTGTGAAGCACAAGTCTGTTGTGGAATCATTGCTACGAACCCCTCCCCTGTTCAGAAGATGCTTCTCAGGAGCTCTCTGAGAACTGAAACTTATGTGACCACCTGTGAAACTTTACTCATTCACTTATTAGAAAGGTCTTGTTTTTGTGTCCTCACCCCACACAGATGAGGCTTTAGCAATTCACTTAATTATGTAATGATACCTGTCTTGTATTACATGAGGCCCTGAAGTTACAAAAATCAAATAATAAGTTTTCCTCATTGTCTCTAACTTGGCATTCTTTTGGCTTCTCTCTTAGCATTTATTACAACTTCTCAGGGAGGTGTTTGAGATAGTCCCATTGTATAGACAGTGATTTTGAACCTGGACCAGCAGCACACTGATCTTCCTTGTTTCAGACCATATCTATGAAGCCTCGCAAAGTGTTTGGCATGTGAAATACTAATTGAAATATTTATTGATTACTATGAATCATGTCATGGAATTTGTATATCAACTTCTACATAAGAAATATTTATTGAATAAGTGAAAGTTTACAGAATGGTCAATGAGAAGTTCAAGGCTTGCTGAGTAAAAACAGAAGCTAATGGGGCTATAGAAATAGTATACCGGGGTTAAGTTTAAAATGAATGTAGTCAACTTGAATGTAGTCAACTCAAGCTTGATACCTGGCATGGCATATGGTGCCCAGTGCAGAGAGCAGGAATAGCCCCGATTTGCACCTCTCTTTCCAAAGAGTACATAAATAAAATATTTTTATTATGACACATTTTATATTTCTGGTTCTTTCCTCTTATGTGTAACGATCACATGATTCCAGCTTCACCTGTCACCAGGATGCAGTGAAAGACTGGAAGAGATCATAGAATTGTGATTTTGGGATTCAAGGCCTCACTGCTGAGGGTCACTGTAGCCTCAGCACTGCCTTCACTGATCCCTGCTGAGGTGGTGGTTACCTAGCCATGAAATATATGCTTGGATTGGAGAAATAAATTAGTGACCAATATGCCCATCCCACTTGCATGTTTTCTCAGTGTCTTTCCAAGCCATTGTTTGTGTCTTCTACCTACCAAGATATGGAAACTGCATCCCCCAGTGACAGTGTAAATTATCTATGATACTAAACCTGGACAGAAAACTTCTTTGTCCTGATATTTTTTAATGGTTTGTTTTGTTTGGGGACCATGCCTGATGCTGTTCAGGGCTTACTCCTGGCTCTGTGCTCAGGGATCATTCCTAATGGGCTTGGGGGACTGTATCAGGTGCCAGGGATTGAATGTGGGTTGGTTGCATGCGAGGCAAACACCCTACCCACTGTTCCATCGATCTGGCCCTGTGTTCTGATTTCTAAGCCAGGCATGAGTCTCCCTCTGTCCCACGAGCAAGTACTCTTCATTTTCCTCTGAGAAGAAACTCTATAACTATTTATACAGATATAATAAATAGTTATTATAAAAAAGTAGACTTCTGTAAGTCTAATTTTTGCTATTTTTATGTGGGAAGCATTCCAAAGGAGATTGATTACTTATGTTTTTGTTCCTGAGGGATTCCCATCTATATGCATTATTATTCCTATACCCTTTCAGGAGCCAGTGTAGGAATAGATATAGACCCTTATTTGGAAAATGTCATTATGTGCCAATTTCAATTTCACATATTTGGTAGAATGACATCTAGTTCCTTTAGCCAGCGACTTGACTCTCCAGTCGAGTTTGGGCAGAAGTCAAGGGAACCCCCACAGAATTCACAGGGAGAGACCATGTGTGCCTACCACAGACAGACACAGCCTTCAGCCCGGAGTGAAATTCTGCAAGTTTACATGAAATAAAATTATGTTTTTTCTTTCTCTACTTCATTTTTTTTCCTTTTGATCTTTAGGCTGCTCCTTGCTGTGCTCATGACTTATTCCTGGCTTTGTACTCAGGGATCACTCCTGGTGTGTCAGTGGAATATAATGGAGTGCCAGGGATTGAATCTGGGTCGGCCATGTGCAGAGCAAGTGTCTTATTAACTGCACTATCTCCCTGGCCCCAAATTTGTTTCTTTAATCACACTGATATATTTGTACACACATCTAAACACATTTCATTACTTCTGATTACAGCATTTTCAATAAGCCAAGTACTCAGTTCCTTTACATAAGCATTCTTTCCCCATCTCCATTCAACACTGATTTGTATTTTGGGAGCTTTGGGTCACAGTCAGCTGTGCTCAGGGCTTATGCCTGGCTCTGTGCTCAGGGGCCACTCTTGGTGGTGTTTGGGGGGTCACATGTGGTGCCAGTGATTAAACCCAGGTTGGCTGCCTGTTAGACCAGGCCTTAATTAACTCTTCTGCTATCTCTCCCAGTCCTTCGCTGCCTGTTAGGCCAGGCCTTAATTAACTCTTCCGCTATCTCTCCCAGCCCTCTAGACTTGTATTTTTTTTTTTTTCAAAAATAGAAACACCTCCATCATTGCTTAAGGTATGCATGTAGTGCTAGGGATTGAACTCTGCACCTTCACATGCCAGGCATATATTCTTGCCCTTTGAGACATATTTCTGGTCCTTTGGATTTAAACTTTAATTCTCCTCTACTATGATCCATGGGATTGTATCTTCTCCAGAACTAGTTTGCAAACCTTTATAACATGCCCACTCAAGTTATAAAGGAGGAAACATCTTCATTCTAATGAGATGTAACTTTGCAAAGATTCGGGGTTCTTTGTGTTCCCTTTAAGTGCATGGCATTTTGATTTTTTTCTTGAAAATGTCTATAAAGAGAAGACAAAATGTGTTCAAAGAATATCTTTTCATTCATCCATTAATCCTGTAAATATATAAGGAGACTGATTCTGTGTTGGACACCATCATGGTCGCTAAAGATATAAATGTGTCTGAATGTAGTTTATTCACATGGAAAATCTCAGTATCTTAACATGTGGAGGCAGCTGCCTGCATTTATGTTACTAATTCTTTCTACACCTAAATCTTTTAGATCAAGAAATTCAACGTCTGAAAATGAGGATGGAAACCTTGCTTGTTGCCAATGAAGACAAGGTAAGATGGGCATTGGGTGGCCCTGTCCTATCCTAGCTGACATTCCTTATTCTATTTGGTCTCGGATGGGGTTCCACCCAGGGTGTTGACTTAGGGTATGTCAGGAGGATGACTTCTGCCTTCTGCACACTGGGCCTCGGGCACACAGTTTTCAGCTTTGCTGCCTGGGAGTTGTAACTAAATGTAGTGTCCCAAAGGCAGATAGATGAGAGCTATGCCTGTTCATGCCTCCCAATATGAGGGTGCACCTACTTGCCACAAACATCAGCCCAGATGATCATGCCCGGAATTCTATAGAGGAAGAAATGGAGACCCAAAGTACTTTTGCTCAAGTAAAAGTAACAGTAGCTTTTTAAGTAGTTTTCCCCAAGGGCAAGTAACAGTAGAGAGCAGAGACTGGGGTCACATTTAAATTTCTTAACTCCAGAATCTGTGTGGTTTTTCTAGTCCCTAAGTTTTTTCCTTCAAAGAAATACTGCTCCCACAACTCCCCACACCCTCAAGCAAGGAATTTTTCTTGATTGCTGAAGGAATCTGAGAATCTTAAGGAACAGGTCAGGATACTTAGCATGACATTTTTTTGCATGGGTGGTGATGGGGGGTAGTAGGTTTGGGCCACTCCTGGCAGTGCTCAGGGCTTACTTCTGGCTCTGTGCTCAGGGATCCCTCTTGGAGGGGCTTGGGGGGCCACATGGGGTGCCAGGAATCAAAATCGAGTCATCTATATACCAGGCAGGTTCTCTACCTTCTACACTATCTCTCGAGCCCCTGAGATGGTGTTTTGTGTGTAAATCAGGTGGGTAATGCTGGATTATGAAGTAGACTCCATTGGCAACCTCAAAATAATAAGAAAATTACTTTTTTGTTTCTGGGAATGTTGAAGCACCGAGAGGAGGCTTTAAGGCCCTTGAGGGTGATGTCAATAGTTATAGTTCATGGTCAGGACTTGGACTCATGGCATCAGGTAGAGGCAAGAGAGCCTGCGACTGTCCGGGAGGATGACTACCAACAATCTAGGCTCCTGGGGAAAGATTTTGTCCTCACTTCCCCTGGGAATGTTCTGCTAGCTACCTAGAATATGTCTGTTGATTGTGCCCAGAACATAGCATGGGCACCCCCCAATGAAATCATCTGAGACATGAATGTTGTTGTTTACATGCAAGTTTGCTCTTGAACCACGGCAGGACCGACGGATAGAGGAACTGACGGGGCTTTTAAACCAGTTCCGAAGGGTAAAGGAGATCGTCATGGCAACTCAAGGTGAGAAAAAGAGATATGCTTTTCTGCCGAAACCTGCACAGCTAGTTGAACATCAGTCCATGAGAGGGAATGAGAGCTTAAAGACGGGGTAGGGAGGACGGCATGAAACATATAGCGACTTTATTGCAAAGCTCATTTTCTTTTATAGTATATAGTGAACACTCCTTGGGAAAGCCAAGGGTTGCAAGTTGAGCGAGCTACGTTATCTGTTATTCTGTTTTGCAGCTGCACATTCAGGCAGTTCATTGAACTCTCTCAGGAATGAGAATATGGCTCCTGGCCTGGCCAAGGTGGATCAGGTGCAGCCTTCCCTTCAGCCCCCCCACAAAAAAGGGTCAACCGCCAGGGCATGGCGCTCCCACACACCCAGTTTTCCCCCTGCTCATTCTCTTCTCAGGGAAAACAAGCAGGGGCTACCAAGGTCAGTCCCCAACACTTTTCTGCCCACCAATATTTCATCTACCACACAAAATCTAGGTGCAGTTCTTCCCAAAGTTTGTCTTGTCATGTGAAGAAAATCATCTGCTGGAGAATAGAGCTGGTTAGTCGGTCCTGGGTGTGAGAAATGGGCACTTCCTGACTTGTGACGTGGTATCCAGTGGTAGGCAGCTCAGAACTCCCAGGGATTATCCAGATCTCCACCTAAACAGAACTCAGCTTGAGCTGCTTATTGGAAGTCCTCACTCAGGAGAGATTTCCCGTGCTGCTTCTCAGGACTGATCTGTGAGGCAGTGAGTGGCATCAAACCTGCCTCAAAATTTAGTACAGTGCTTTCTTGAGGATGAGAGCTCGATCACCTTCTACAGAATGTACAGAACCCAGCTGTCTCCCACAGCACTTAAGGAGGACCTGAATCCTTAAGTACCTGGTTCCCTCAGGAAGTAACAAGCAGGAGAGCTGCTGTGTTTTGTGTTTGCTACCCCAAGTGAATCACCATGTAGCAGCAGTGGTGTTCTTTGGGGTTCAATGGGCCATTTGTCAGATTGCCGGCCTGGTTCATGCCGCTGACCTGGGGTCCCATCATAGGCAGCTGTTTCACAGGAGGGCACTGTTTTGAGGGTACTCCAGAGCCTCTGATCTGGCTGAGCTTCTGCTTCTTGGGAAAAATCTGACCCCAGCTTGGGTTCTGGCTCACTGGTCACCAGCACATTTGCTGCCATCCCTGTCCTCTCTAATCCTTTGGGATCCTGAGTCGGGTCACTCTCTAGGCCTAATTTACCTGTTGTCAAGGAATAGGGAGGTTGGAGAAGAATAGGAGTGGGGGTGACCTCGCTGTGCCACACGTGAGCTTAATCTGTGAGATGACCTTCATGGTGGACATTGCTCAAATGCCCCAAAAGATTTTCTAAATCACAATCTTAATCCCATTGATGTGTTTCTTGGATTTAGTGGAAGAAAAACCATCCTCTGTGGAAGTCATTGTGACGATACCTTTAATAGGTTAGGTTTGTGAACACATTAGATGATGGTAATCTTCTTTCTCCATTAATGCTTCCAGGGTCTTCGGAAAGAACTCTCTCAATCAACGAGGAAGAACTGGAGGGAAGTTTCAGAAAGTGGAACTCTGCAACCAAAGGCCCGGAAGAACCATTTAAACCAGAGGTGCCCTTTTCATCCTTGATGTGCACTTTCAGATTCCTCTGAACTTGGGGGAGGATCTAGTTAGGGGTCTATCAGGTATAAATCAGGACAGAAGAGAAATTAGATCCATGCGGGGTGCCCGGGGATCTTTGGAAACACCGAGGAGAGCCACAGCCCAGGGACTAAGCAACAGCATAATGGATTCTGACCTTTTAAGGATTGAGGTTTCTGAAACTTAAGCTCCTTATTTGCTTTTGGCTTTCTGGAATGTAAGGTGAAACTCAAGGTCCTGTTTGTTTTATTTACCACTGTTTGCTGGTGTCTGCAATTCTTCCTGATACCTGTTGAAGTCAATAAATATTTGTTGGACAATCTGTAAATCTTGCTTGTTTAGAAGGATAACTGTGGGATTTGAAGTGATATATTTCTATTTCACAGACATCCCTTCTAACAAGCACCCCTTTTTTCTTTCTATTTATTTGACTTGTTTAAAATCTGGTCTTATTTTATGACTCTTCTGGGATAAGCTCTCTCTCTCTCTCTCTCTCTCACTTTAAATATATATATATATACATATATATTGATTTTGTGATATATATATCAACTCAGTTTCTGATATATATACATCAGCAACTGAGTTGATCTTGATCTCAGGGAGGGAAGGGACTTTAGCCCCAATCTTCAAAGATTCACCTAATGGCCAGAGAGATAGTACAGTGGGTAAGGCAGCCTTGCACATGGTTCAATCCCTGACACCACATGTATACTCCAGAGCCCTGCCAGGAGCGATCCTTAAGCACAGAGCAAGGAGTGATCCTTGAGCACAGAGCCAGGAGTAAGCCTGAGCACAACTTGGTGTGTCCCCTTCTTCCCAACCCCATTCCAGAAGCAGCAAAAAGATTTATTTAACTGAAACTGAAAAGTGTATTAGTGATCTGTCTAAACCATTAAATTGCACTGAGTTTTTTCTATGGTTGATCGCAGAGATACTGAGTTTGTGAGAGAAGACATGGTCTTTGCTGAAGTGAACTTTTGAAACCTCAGAGTCCTTCCTCATCACTATTAGCCAATGTTCTCTCCACTAGGGAAACTCTTTCTTTTTATGCCTTCTAGCCATGCTCCAGGCTCATTTCTCAAGATTCAGCTCAATTGTTCTTTCAAGAAACTTTCCTAGTCTTCCTTCCTTCCTTCAAGAGGGAGCCTCCCCTATCCTCTACTCCCATTAAGTGCAAGAACATGTTACATGGATGATCTTTTATCCAGATTAACTTCTGCTTCCCTGATGTGGGCTGTGCTTTCCTCACACCCAGTAACTTGGGTGTTGAGTGACTCTATCAGTTCCAGATGTTCATTGTGAGCAGCAACAAATGGACATTAGTTTAATCTCTGTCCACAAGAAATGACTTTTGTTTTCCCATGTGGTTTTTGGGACCCTCATAGCGCTTAGGAGCTACTCCTGGAAGTGCTCCAGGGACCATATGTTGTGCCGGGGACTGATCCTGTGTATGTACCCTTAAGCAGGTCCCTGAACCTTTATACTATTTTTTGGATTGACATGAAATGTTTGTGAAGGGTGTGTGTGCCTCATGAATGTAAGGAAAAACTCAAGAACCAAGCTCTGAAAAACAGGATTCCCAGGCCTTTAGGTCTCAAGACTGGCTTGTCAGGACTCTGCAAAATTTGGCTCCTGATGGAGGGACACCTTGGCCAAGGCAGTTCTTTGCTTTGACCTCTGTGGCCTCACAGAGCAGAGTGGACATAGCATCCATGACTGCTGGGGTTCGGGCATGGAAGTGTGACTCCCAAAAGAAAAGGTCTAATGTAGAGGGGTAGGTTGGGCTTGGTCTCCATGTTGTCCACATTGTTCATGGTGGTGCTTTCTTTTCTGGTGCAGATGCCGCCGCGATGTAGCTCTCCCACCGTAGGGCCACCTCCGCTTCCACAGAAATCACTGGAAACCAGGTAGGAAGCCCAAGCATGTCTCCAGGGACACGGTGCTCCAGACCCATCTTGGGGCTCCTAAGGTGATGGTGATTGCTTGTGCTTGGTGAGCACCATTCCCATGTCCCAGACAGTCCTTCCACTGTCATGGTATAGCACTCCAGGTCCTGGCAGTGGTCACTATGTTGTCCAAACCAGACAGCAGTCATGGGCTATGGAGTGATAAGGCGACTTATCAGAAGGCTTCCTTGCCTCAGACAATGGCCTGAGTTATTGTCATTGAGAAGAAAGCTGGGCATGACTTCAGTCTCTGAGGGGCAGTTGGTGGTGCCTTCTCTGTGCCCTAAGTGACTCCTCAGGGTTAAGTGTGTACACAGTGTGTGTCATTTCCTTCAGTTCCTCTGAAAATCCTGCCTGCTCTTAGGAAACATGTAGCCTCTGGGATCCAGGTTTCCCTGGAGAAATTCCTCCTTCCAGGGAAGTTGGCCTATTGCTCTGGGGGGAGGTGTTCTGTATATAACATTGAGTTTGTAGTGGGCTGTCCTGTGGGGTCAGTTGGTTATTACCAATACCCATTCAGTTCTCTCTACAGTGAATTTATTTCTATTTCCCTCTGTCAACCCTCTAAAAGACAGTTCAGGAAGGGACCCATGTCATGAAGATTTCACAACCAAGGGCAGGTTGTCTTGTCAGCAAAATGGATAGGAAAAGGCATTAAGCATAACAGAAAGGGCTCCTTGGATCCAGAGCCTTATTTTCCAGGGAGCTATCATTCCCTGAACCTTAAGCCTCAGAAAAAAATGACAATATCCACAAGGACAATGAGTAGGTTTTCAGTTCTACAGAACAAGAAAGGGCACGTATAGTGCTGAGGATGTTATTCAGTGATAAAGCCCATGCCTCACATGTTTGAGGCCCAAAGTAAGATCCACGGACTGGCCTCCAAAAAGGGTTTATGACTTTACTCAGTAGTATATTTACTAAGTAACTCACCCTGACCAGACTCGCATCAGATACACATGACACTAATATATTCATATAAACTGGGAAATGTCACAGCCAAGGCGACTTATCACAAGGTAACCCCTATCATTGTTGGTGATGCTGTCTCCTCTTTATCCATTTTGTGCCTTTTCTGCATGAACAAGTAAACATAACCCCATAACAGTCTTGTTGGGGTATTTGGAGCCAGAGCAGAGAGCAGAGTATGGAGGATGCTAGCAGGTGATGATGATGTGACTGGCCAGTTTGTTCTTCTTACAGTGGTACAGGTCCTTTCCCACTGGGTAACTCATGCCTGTCTTTTGACTGCAGACTTTGGCCTTTTCCAACATACAACAGTCAGCTCCCATTGATGCCATAGAATTGAATGTATCCTAGCTTTTTAAGGCTTACCAAAGATCTTTGATCAGGATTGAAGTTATAGTCTCACACTCTCACAAACACATTATCAAGCCAGTCCCAACTTTCATGTAATGCTTTTGATGAGATGGTGAATTTCCTGACCTTAACTGTGAATCCAAGCTAAGTTACTTGAGGTTGTTTAAACATGTAGAGGTCCTCTCCCTGAATGATACCATTTACCTCCTTCTCTAATAACCATTTCTTTCTTCACTTTCTTTTGGATTTTTTTTTTCAGGACACAGAAAAAACTCTCCTGCAGTCTAGAAGACTTGAGAGGAGAATCTGTGGATAAGGTAAGCTCGTCAGTCTATCCAGTGAGAGAACAGTTACTTCTTTGGGCCCAAGTATAGTGCTAGGATACAGGAGAAGTTCTGATCCACATTTTAGTTTACTTAATTTTTTTGGATTGTGGGTTACACCCAGTGATTCTCAAGTTTACTTCTGACTGCACTCAGGGATCACTCCTGGCAGTGTTCAGGGATTGGACCTATTCAAGGCAAGTGCACTACCCAATGTACTATCTTGCTGGTCCCTTTTAAACATTTTTTGTTTTGTTTTATTTTTATTGATATATTTATTTTGGTTTTGGGGTCAAAGCCAAAGGTATTCAAAGGACTATATGTGGTGCTGGGGATTGAATTCAGGTTGACATTTTTATAGAGGTTTTTACAAAGTAAATGGGGATGCAGGAATTACAGGTACATGCTCTCAAGAATTCCTGGTAGATGTGTCATGAGGTATATGAACTGCCACCTGGCATTGCTGAGAGGGGATGCTGAGGTGGACACAGGCAGTTTTTGGGAAATGTTTGGGGAGCAAGAAGTGATATAGTTGGTGTTGTGGGTCAGAATCCAAGAAGATCTTTGGGTTCCATTTCCCCAGGGCATCTGGGTGCACTGCCAAGGATTTGAATGAGGAAATCTGGTGGGTAAATGAGATGACACCAGCCACAAGTTCAGGGATACTTTAGAGGAACCTGTCTCAAATGACAGGAGGAGCACTTGTCTCATAGTTAGCTCATGACCACATGGTGAGTTCCATAGTGGAGGCTCTTGAGTGAGGTCACTGGAAACCAGGCATCCTCTCCCATGGGACATCCTCACTGAGTCCTGATACATCTGATCCGTTCATCTCCAGTAGGACACAAGCCTCCCTGGGATGTTGGCAGAAGCCCTGGATCCGTTCATTGATTGCCTCCCTGGTGATGTGCTTGTTATCACTCCGGGTCAGTCTAGAACATGTAGGTCTATGTTCCATGGGGTAGAACAGTGACCTGTGTTTGCTCCATGGATGGTGGCTACCTGGTATAAAGATAATGAGGGACGAGATGGAACTGGCAGACTTAAGCATCAACTGGTCCAGTGTTGTTTATGATTACTACAGGGCTCTTTTTCTCTATTTAATTGAGCTTCTTTCTTCTCCATAGTGTGTCATTGATGGGAACCAGCTCTCCCCAGCCATGAAATTGAAGGTACAGTGACTACATGTCCCAATCACCCATATTCAGTAGCTTTGCTCGCTGAAATGTTTTTTTTTTCATCTAGCATACTAGGCTTTTGTAACCTTAAAATTTATAAACCATAAAGGATGATAGGGTGAGAGAAAAGACAAAATTCTCCCTTCTATTTGTATCTGTGCTTTCTTTCTTCCCATTGCCTATGGAACATGAATTGTTGGTATGCCTTCTATTTTTGTAGGCTCAAAAATTTCATCTTAATAAGACAGTGTAGAGCTAGACTCTGGGAATGGGGATGTTGTAATCTCAGTACATGGAAGTGTGACAGCTCTCACCCTGTCCATCAGGCTGTTATGGTTAAATACAGAGAAGTACGCCTGACCCATTTTTACACACAGTTATTTATTAAAAGTCACATTAGATCTATGTTTCTCTTAGGAAAGAGGACTGAGTCTCCCAGGAGCACAAATATATCGAGACTATGGTGAATGCAAATGAGTACTGAGCATGAGATAAGCCAACTAAGATTTGTAATATGATGATGAGAGAGGACTAGTGAGGTCACTGGCACCATTCTTTATCTGTTCTCTGTCTTCCTCTCGCCATATGGGACAGTGAGGCCTCCTAACATGTCAACTTTTGCCTGAAATTGTCTTTTCATTTTTTTAAACAAAATTTTGTTATATTAGGAACTGTAATTATAATACTACTGATGATCACTTGTATCACTTGTTATCCCATTGCTCATCAATTTGCTCGAGCAGGCACCAGTAACGTCTTCATTTGTCCCTGTTGCATGCCAATATGGCCCAGAAACACGAAGAGTAGTTATTATTACTATTGTTACTGTTTTTGGCATATCAAATAAATCATGGATAGCTTGCCAGGCTCTGCCGTGCAGGCGGGATACCCTTGGTAGCTTGCCAGGCTCTCCGAGAGGAACGGAGGCTCCAGGAAAAACTGTGTCACTCTCTTCCAGGAGTTTTGTCTTATAGTCCCTGGATCTTGACCGATGGTGAGATTACATGGCATCAGGGGCAGTTTGTGGGTGTGACTGCCAAGCTACTAGAAAACTGGGTATCTGGGTGGAGGAGGCCCAGTCCTGATCCAAGCAGGCTTGGAGATCTCAGCCCCGGGTCCCACATACCTGGGTTCCTCTGTTGGATCCCTCATGGGTGAGGATCATCTGAACATGTGGAGAGTGGCCTTGAGCATGACTATGGCTGGGTTCTGGTGTGGTAATTATTGAAAATGAGTAGGGAGTGTCATGATGTGTCACAGCCACGTGGTCCAGGACTATGTCACTCATATGTGAAGCTCAGCCCGAGTGTGTGGAAAGCGGCTTGGAGAATGGCGATGGTTGGGTTGTGGAGGTTGGCTACCGGGTCTGGGTCCCTTGGGGCAGGGAGGGCTCTCACCCGCCCCCCCCCCTCTCCGGGGCACCCTGAATGAAAACAGCCTGTCGTGGAGATCCTCTGCCTGCTTCTATTGATGATAAGTTTTCATATATACAGTGTTCTAATACCACATCCTCAAAAGGGTCATTTTATACTTTTATATCAATATATGATAAGAATAGAATGTTAAAATACTCGAAAAGGAAGAGTCTTTCTCTCTCTGCACCACTCTTAGGGCCTTCTCTTCAGATGCATATAGTAGCCATGAATGCCTCAATGGTATAATTAGCTCTTACCTTTTGCAAGGGCTGGAGTCTTTTCCCTACTATCTAGGTGCTCTAAACATACATGCCTAGAGCATAGATTTGAGGAGTAGATTTTTTTTTTTTTTAGATTGATTTAACAAATACTTATGGGGACTGTTTTCTGCTTTCCCCAGTACTCTTCTCTCACAAACCTCAAACCTCATGTCCACACGGGCTGTTCACAGAAATTCTAAAGCACATCTGTACATGACCACCTGCTCCTTTGGTAGTAGGGGTCAGGTCTCAGGCTTAAGCTTTAAGATACTGGTTTGATTACTAAGAAATAGGAGATGATGAGACCCTGCTTCTGATGAAAAAAATATTCCAGATTAAAGAGTTATTGTTTTCAAAGATGGCTTTGACAATGATCACAGTCTGTGCAGTATAAATTGGTTCAATGTGGCTCCCCCTTTACACACACACACACACACACACACACACACACACACACACACACTTCTCTCTCTCCACTTCTAGTACTACTTCCCTGGTCCTTGAATTGCTCTGTGACACCCTGCAATGTTGAATGTTGTTCTCCATCCCTCACCTTCTATGACTGAGTGACTGAGTGCTCACTAATTCTGATACAGCTCCTGTCATCTCTTCTAATTCTGTCATTTCCTCTTTTGGGGTTTCTCTAAAATGTTCATCTGTTCATCCAGGCTCTCCCTCTAGATCCCAGGGAATAAGTCATTCTCCTCTGTTCCTGGTGCCCCATAGGAATTAAGTCCATCAGGTTCTCTTAGAGTTAAACATCATTTTCTCATATAGGACACCCTCTATAGGTCCAGTTCAGAGTCCTAAGAATCAGCATTTGGTTCTCAATGAGTCCTTTACATTGAAACTCCAAGCACATTGGAGCAAGTGGGTCTCTGACCTATAACCATCTTGGTCTTGGGATGGCCCTTTGTTTGTCACTCCAAGATCCAGATATCATGGCCTCTGTTTTCTTCCTGTGATTTCTAAAGCTAAGGCATGAATTGTTCTTTTTAGAAATGACAAAACAGGTTTGGAGAAAGTCACAAGAAAGGGCTAAGCCAGTGGCTAAGGGCTGCAGTAGTGTCTAAGCGTCTCTCACCCTGTTGTGTACCCTCCCTGGGCACATTCAGAGCAGCAGGATTGCTAGTTACAGGTCCTCTGAAAATAGAATATTTCTGTTTGGTATAATGTGGTAGGTTTATGGGGGTGGAGTCTGAGAGTGCCTACATTTTTCCCATATAATTCAATGCTAATAGTATTACCTCAAATAGCCTATCCTAGCATACCAAATAGTGATATTCTACTTTCAGCTGGAGGAAAACCTGTACATGTAGCTCTTGGCTGGGTTTTTCATTCTCCCATAACGAGGGCTATTATTTTTGGAGACAGCAGAAGCGGAACAGGATTTGATTTCCCTGGATCGTGTCCTGACCTTGTCTGACTTTCCCTAGCAGTGAATTCTTCCTTCCCAGCTTGTCCTTTTGGTTGAAGCTAAGAGCCCATTCTCAGACAGAGAAATCAGGTCTTCCCGTGCAGGTGACCAGTCCTGGTCGCATCCCTGGCACTGCGTATGAGTCCCCCAAATGTTCTCAGCAATCACTCCTGAGCACAGCGCCTGAGCCATAGCCACACAGCAGGATCTGGGTCCACTTTGTCTCTCTGCAGTCCCTCCACCCCCATATCCCTGGCCAAGAAAGAGGCCATTTCATTGCCCTTGGGGCCATTATTGTCTTTCTCACACATCTGAATTCTGGTTCTCTATGGATGCCCAGTTTTAGAGCTGCTGGGCAATTCCCAACAGCGGCTTGGTTGTCTCTGCCCTCTCTTGGGGTTGGTGGTATTGGTGATGTCATTCTGTTTGGTGATGGCAATCTGTTTGGGAGTGCAGTACCCCACTCCCATTGCTGCAGTGTTCTAGCATTGGAGTCATGCCCTTTTGCTCTCAAAACATTTTGAGAACTTCCCCACAGCTAATGACTCCTGAAACTGAATATGGATCCATGTAATCTGAGATACTCATTAAAAACACAGACTCCCAGTTGGTATGCGGCCCTCAAAGGGCTGATTTTTGGGACCAGGTAGAATCTGGGACTTAATAGTTTTTACAGGTGCCTCAGGGGCACTATAAAGCAGTTGAATGCATGAACTCGCATTTGGAAATGGATGGTCTTGAACACATGTCAGACCATGTCCAATTTCTATGTCATGATTTGTCATAAACTGAGAAGTCACATGTTCTTCAGCTCTCAAGGTTCTACTTATTTCACTTTTCAGGACAGTTCTTGCAGATTTCTTTTTCTTTTTCTTTATTTATTTATTCATTTATTGAATCACCGTGAGAACAGTCACAAAGCCTTTCAGTTCAACTCTTGGTCGGTCATACAATGATCAAACACCTGTCCCTTCACCAGTGCACATTTTTCACCACCAAGAACCCCAGTATACCCCCTCTCCCACCTATCTCCCACCTGTGTGGCAGATTTCCACTTTACTCTCTCTCTTTACATTGATCACATTCAATATTACAACAAAAGACACAACATTGTCATTTGGAATTTTCCCCAATATTCAGACCTGCCACAAGGACGTCATTAGATAATTTGTTTTCTACTGCTGATTATGAAGAGCATATGATGTCGTGTGGCCACAATAATAGCCATGCGTATTTGGATTTCTGATATTTTAGTAATAAATCTAGAGGGATTACTGCCGGAAGCCCCTGGGTTCTGAGATTGGAATGTGTGCCTCTGGTTTTATGGTCGGTCAGAAACCTGAGGTGGAGTTTGAGGGTGGCAACCCAGAGCATTGTCATGGCAGGGAGCAGGGCTGATTCCACCTTCCATCCCATGAAGCCCCACGTGCCTCGTCAATGCAGTCTCATACCTGGCTGTTTATTAGGCTCTAAAAGATGCAGGCCACCATGTCACCACTGCAAAGGGGGACAGGCGGAGGGACAGACACCCTTCCCCTCCAAAGGCAGCATAGCACCATAGTAAAATACACAGTCCAGATATTTTTTGGTTGGGCATTATCTTTTGCTCAGATTTTCCCACAACCACTCAAACCTAATTTTCAGGGACAAATGCTAGATAATTTTCTTTCCATTGATCACTTTGCATATTGCGGCCGCATGGTTCAGAAAAAAGTCCTGGTACCTGCATGCCAGAGCCATGCTTGTAGAAGCTCATGGTCACTGGGACTCCATCTGGAGAAGGCGGGGAGACAGCACCTTACCCATCTGGGACCTCCCGGTGATATCGGCTCTGGTTGGGGCCTGGAATTCTCCGGGAGCTGTGGGGCCCTCCCGCTGGTTTTTTTCTTCACTGCTGTGTGCTGTAAGATGGCGCTGGGGGCGGGTTGTGGGCATGACTTCTGGAATCAGAGGTTGCCTGGGAGCCAGGGCGGCCCCATTGCAGTTCGGAATAAAGTCCTGGTACCCACATGCCAGAGCCACGCTTGTAGAAGCTCATGGCTACCGGCATTCCATCTGGAGAAGGTGCAGATTTCTTTTTCTTTTTAGAATTTAGTCTGTTATCCCCCTGTTAGTCTGCTACTCCTTTCTGAACTTCTTCAGTGGATGTATTGGAATTAAAAAAAATATGTGTTGCATTTGAAACAGTTTCTAGGGTATGAGCAAAGGAAATATAGCAGCTCATTGGGTCAATTGAGTTTTAACTAAGTGGAACTTCAAAAGATGTCTCTATTGCTGAAATTTTCCATTACTTTTCTGACTTGTCAGTTTTGAAATCAAATTTGTTTGTCATATGACCTTTCTACTGGGGCCAATCAAGTCGTGCAATTGCTTCCCTTGGTTAATGTTGCCTCAGTTTCTCTGTTTTGTTTCTTCTCATTCCAATGCATTCCATTGTGTTCCTCACAGATTTGTGAATTTAGGGGACATTATATTCTCTTCAAATAAAAAAGCTCAGTTCTTCTCCTTTTTAACCAACTCATTTCTTTGCAACTCAGCTTGTGGTTAGGGTTTCAGCACAAGGTTAGGTCCCATTGCCTGGGTCCTGAACCTCATGAAGATTATGCTCCTAGCATGGAGCCCTGGACCCTTGCTTTTCATTTCCCCTTTGCTCTACCTTAACTTGATGTTTTTCAAGGTAATTAATACCATGCTATAAACTAAGATTTACTAGATTTACTAAGTAAAGGTAAAGGTAAAGGTAAAGGCCCTCCCGTTGATCGTCGATTTGCTCGAGCGGGCCCAGTAACGTCTCCATTGGAGACTTTGTTGTTACTGTGTCTGGCATATCAAATACTCTCGGTAGCTTGCCGGGCTCTCCGAGAGGGGCGGAGGAATCGAACTCGGGTCAGCCATGTTGGCCGCTTGTAAGGGGAACGCCCTACCCGCTGTCTAATTATTCATAGATATTATTGTAGACATAAAACAATCATATAGCTTGTACCTGAATTCTAGTTTATAAATTCAAGGCTCTTGAGGGTAATTTATAACCGTTAATTCATGAGCCACTTGTGAAAAGATGAGGTCCTTTCATTTTTAAGACATTTGCTCTCCTGCTTGTGTCAATTGCTGTCATCCCTGGACTTGGCTTGACTTGGTGCCTATGTCGCTGTGTGGTGTTGGGCAGATTACTTCTTAGGTCCCTTTGCCAGGCACAGACTGCATGATCTCTGAAGGGTCTCTCAGACAATCCAAGTGCTCTTAGGGAGCAGAAATTCAGTTCCTCATCTGTGAAGTTCCTAGCGGTGAAGTCTGATTCTTCATCTCTTTTTCTCTCTAATAGGATGGCCCTCTCCTGGCTGAGCACAAATATCCCACGTTACCTGGGAAGCATTCAGGAGCTATTCCCAATGGAGAGGCCAACCAGTCTCCACCCACCACGGCCCAGCAGGATCCCAGTGGGAGCAGCCTGCTGAGATTGAGTGAGTGTCCAGCCCTTGGTCTTTCGACCTCTGGAACAACAGCTCTGGTACTCCCGATTATCACACAGCAGCCCTGTACCAACCCCGCTGCCTGCAACTGGAGTCTGGTGTGGGACTGTGGATGGGCAAGGCCTGCCTCAGGTGACCTCTCTTCCAGAGGGGTTGAAGGCTCTCTGGCTGGGCATGCTGTCATGTCACACTTCAAGCACCTCAGAAAAGCAGGGTTTATACACCACTTCCTGACAACTGCAGTTTCTCCACCCCCATTTTCCTCCTTTTTTGTTCCTCCTATCTTGAACCCTTTCAGTTCTTCCCAGAATAATTCTCACAGTCCCTTCCCCCAACATACACACTCTCATCCTGTACACACACAAACACACACGCACACGCACGCACACATGCGCGCGCACACACACACACACACCCGCGAATAAATATTCTGGTCCTGACAGAGCTCTGCTTACCTCTGACTCTGTCCCTGATTATTACTGGGCCAGCCCCCGTGTTGCCTTCTACCTTTGGTCATTCTGTCTTTGGCTACAGGAACTCCAGATACAGCCTTAAATAAATGTGTCCAAGTGTCTCTCAGAGAGCACCCACTACAGCTTCAGATCATTCTTATCAGAGCTAAGTGGGCTCTGGCACTACACAGTGTCACATGGCCTTCCTCTTTCCTGGCCTCACCCTGAGCATAGCTGCCCCAGCATGCCAGGAAGTGGCTCTAGGAGACCTTGGTCCCTGGATGTGGGGAACCTTTCACTGTGCTAATCCTGTGGGCTCCATTACCATTCACCTGGTCCTTCCTTGCAGGATTTTCTTTCTGTTTGAATTTTTCTCCCTTGCTCGATGACTCTCTTGTTTATTTCTTTGCTTCCCTATAACTCTGTTGGGCTGGACTTTGGCCTCTCTTGCTTCTTCATGTGGCTTCTCTGCTTCTTGGTTGGCTGGAGACCGTGGCCGGAGTGTCAGTGCCCCCGTATTAGGTACTGTACCCTTCCAGGTGAGGTGGAGAGTGAAAATGCCCTTGTTTCCCTGTCCCACACCTACCTACCCCCTACCTCAAACATTCCTCTAGGGCCTCCTCCTGCCTTTACTCCTGCATCTCCCTTGGAGAAGAGAAAGCAAACTCCTTATGGGAGTTGTCTTATGATTAATTGGACTCAAAATCCATAGAATTTAGAGACATTCATGGGTCCAAATTTGAGAGGTTAAGTTCACTAATTCTTAAGAATTGCCTCTGAGCACACCGGGGTTTGGGGTCTTACTGCAAAGTTCTGTCTTGAGGAAAGATCTAAGCTCCCACTGAAAGAAGACTCAGGTCTTGGGGAGAAAGTTTTCAAAGGTCAATTCCCTACTTTTCATATTGTTACCTCCTTTCAATCTTAGGAGACACGGAAAGTGGCTGGGATGACAGTGCCACAGCCAATGACCTCTCATCCACGTCATCTGGTACTGAGTCGAGCCCCCAGTCTCCTCTGACACCAGATGCTAAACGGAGCCCCAAAGGCATCAAGAAAATCTGGGGAAAGTAAGTTGTTGGTGGAAATCCTGATTATGTTATTTGGGATTCCTATCCTTCTTGACTTGGCAGATCTACCTAAACTTCTGTTCGTGTTGGAAGAGTAATAAAAACAGCCATTAATGGCTTGAAGAGTTTGGCTTATTTTTCAGGACCTAGAGAAGAACTAGGAAAGGTATTCATTAAACCCAGTCCATTGCTCTATATTTCATTTAGTCTAGGCCACTGTCCATCCCCCACACCCTGAGCATATTCTCTGTGGCTCACACCACACATGCTTTGGAAAACACACATGGATGAGATTTAATTCTGTCTTCTCAAGGCTTAGTCTGAAAGCACTGAAGCTGAAGACTTGCTTCCCTTGCTCACCCAGTGCATAGATGAAGCAGAAAATTCCTGGTTCCTTCCTTTACCTACCTACCCCCAGGAAGTGGTCCGTAATTTAGAGGCAGGATTAGACTTGGGTCTGGCCTTGAAGCACTTTGGGGTATGATTCTTGACCTCTGGGGAGGCTCTGAGTGGCAGTGCCAGCCTGCATTGTGGTTTTGGCTGGTACAGTCTATAGGAAGAGGTGCCATAGACTCCAGGTTTTCTGACTGTTCCTTGGCCTCCTCCGTGCAGAATCCGAAGAACTCAGTCAGGAAATTTCAACACTGATGCACCTGGGATGGCAGAGTTTCGACGAGGTGGACTCCGGGCAACTGCAGGGCCAAGACTCTCAAGGACCAGAGACCCCAAGGGTCAAAAAAGGTAAGGCTCCCTCAAGTACATCTGCAGTGAATGTGTGAAGTCCAGGGTAGGGTGAGGATGGACATTGAATGTCCCAGAGAGAAGTTCAGGGACTCCAACTGCAGAACTCACTACTTTGAATTAGCACAAGCAGACATTGCTTGTATTTATAGGTGCACTGAGGTAAAAGCTGGGGTGAGAGATGGCCCACTGCCTTGTCATGGACCTCAGCAGCTCTGCACATCCTAAATTCACTGTTGGCCATGTCTTTGTGTACTAGATGGAGCAGCTCGGGTGCAGCCCTTCAGAACATTCTAGAATTATAGACCCAGGTTGGATCTCAGTAGAATATGTATAAGTCAGTCAGTTGCTTCCTAACAGGGTACCCTAAACCATTACAAAACCTCTCTGTGCCTCAGTTGTCATTTGTGAAGTAGGTAGTTGGCTGATGAAGATAGCCTGGAAGCATCAGCCATCTGGGCTACCCTCAACTCAAGGGCCAGCTTCTTCCAGGGTGTCAGGGAAAAGGGCATCCTGGTCTCACTTGCCTCCGGGGCAGGCCTGTCTTCCACAGAGACCTCTGTGGAAGGTGCAGAGGGTCCTTGTGCTTTGCAAAACATTGTAGGCACTTGTCAAGGGATCAGTAAGGGAAGTTTCTCATGACTGTTCCCATGATGCCCTAATTTTTTTTTCTTTAAGTTTATCTTTTTTCAGGGCTAGAGAGATAGAATATAGCAGGTAGGGTGCTTGCCTTGCATGTGGCCAATGTGGGTTTTTTTATCTCAGACTGCTTATGGTCTCCCAAGTCTTGCCATGTGAATCCTGAGCACAGAGCCAGAAGTAAGCCCCATTAAGATCACTTAATATTTGCCAGGTACAGTGAGTAACTGATTAGGGGGTGCATAATTCACATTAATCCTCAGGAACAATATAGACTAGATCAGACAGAAGAAGAATATTTCCCTGTAGTGTCATGTTGTTAGCACCCCAGGGGTGCACTTGGATGGGACACACAAATCCTTAGCCCATCCCACCACCTTTGGGGTTCTCAACTTTTCTGGTCACTGCTCCTGTGTATAAGACACCAGTGCCTTTCAGATGCTTTGTTACAATGTCTGAGCATCCGGAGATGGCAGCCAAGAAAAGGCTTTGTTTCTCTTACACAGAAAATTCAATAGAATCTTATGCTAATGTCCCTTGGTATTTAAAATTTATAGATATTTAGTTACAGGCTTAAACCAATATTTCTGTAGGGAAAGCAGTCTGTTCCTGGAAGAATCTGGACCCAATTCTCTTTTTTCCAATTAAGTAATGGTTTTAAATAGAATAATTGGTGAGGTTGTGGGCTTGATTCCCTGCCCTGCAAAAATAAATAAAATATAATATTAGACAATGTTATTTTATAAAACTTCTTTTCTAAGGTTATGGAAGGATGAACTTGGTCTTTTTCTCTGTATTTTCCTGATGTGCATTAAGTTGGCACTACTGTTCAGCAATGGCTAATCAAAGGCTCAACCTTGTCAACATTGTTTGTAGTTTTCTTGTTTATACTTGTCTGGTTTATAGACCTCAAACCCATATATTTTGGAGGGCAGCCCTGGTGGGATTTGGGGAACCATGTGGTTGAGCTGGTCAAACCTGAGCCTCTCACATGAGTTTCATCACTTTGAATCATCTGCCCAACCACCAAAACCACATTTTTACTGATAATTTAATTTGTCATTTTATTTCTTCTTCTGGGAATTGTCTCTATTTTTTGCCCAATTTTATTTAGTTATTAATTTCTTTCATTTAGTTATCTAATATTTTTATAGAGTTCTATCTATTCTCTTTTAAAGCTGCCTCTAATAAGTTATTAGACAGGTTATTGTTTATTAGATTTGTTTGCAGAATTTTACTTTGAAAATCAGAGTTTTTGATTTATGTACTAGTGAAGTTTGTTAATTTTTCCTTTGTTATTTCTTTGCTGTTTTGTTTGAAATCATTTTAGTGACAAAAGATGTGGCTTTAAAATGTCAGTAAAATGTTTTTAAAAATCAATAAGCCAATCAGACTCGAAAGCCATGTGCTAGATCTAAAGATTAAAGAAGGTTATTTAATTATTGATTAGACCCCTTTACCCCATTTTCCCCATCCCTTTATCCCTTACTTTCTGATAACTGTTAATATATACTCTGAAAGTTTATTTTTGTTTTAATTCAATTGCTTGTTTAGTCTCTATATACAATGTATGTATGAGTAAAATCATATAGTATTTTTCTTTTTCCACCTGACTTATATCACCAAGCATAGTACACTCTAGATCTATCCATGTTGTTGCAGATGGCAGAAATTCATCTTTTTGTTCTTTTATTTTAATATATATATAAATATATATATATATATAGTTTCTTCTTTATCCAACTATCTCTTGATGGGCACTTGTGTTGTTGCTTCCAGCTTGTGGTTGTAAATAATGCTGTAGTAACCACAGGATGCTTGTGCTACATCTGTTTTACAAATGGTTGGACCAATTTCTGTTCTTACCAACACATTTCTTGTTAATTGTCACATATATGAAATAATACCTCATTGTTGTCTTGATTTACATCTTCCTGATAATAGACACTTTCTAAGTGCCTTCTGGTTTCTTTGGATACTAACCCCCTTATATGTATGACATACCAATATTTTTTTCCATTCAGTAGGGTGTCATTTTGTTTGTTTTGTTTTTATTTTGGAACCACATCTGGCCCCAAAATGTTCAGGGATACTCCAAGCTTGTTGCTCAGATATCACTCACAGTGGGGTATGGGAGACCATATGGGTTCCCACGTATCAAACCTGGGTCAACTGTGTGCAAGGCAAGTGCTCTACCCACTATCTTATCTCTCCAGCCCCATGGGTATCTTGATTTTATTGAAAGTTTCTTTCAGTGTACTGATTTTCCCCCCCTCTTTCTATCACATTTCTTTCTTTCTTTCTTTCTTTTTTTTTTTTTTTAGTTTATTGAATCATTGTGAGAACAGTTATAAAGTTTTCAGGTCTCGTCATACAATGATCAAACACCCATCCCTTCACCAGCGCATATACCCCCCATCTCACCCCTCCCCATGCCTGAGAGGCAGATGATTTCCACTTAACCCTCTCTCTACTTTGATTACATTCATTATTTCGACAAAAGATGCACCATTATTATTTGGAATTTTACCCCAACAATCAGACCTCCTGAAAAGGCGTCGTGAAATATTTTGTTTTCTATTGCTGGTTATGAAGACCATCTGATGTCACATGGCCATGATAGCAGCCGCAAGATTTTGGATTTTTGATATTTGCTAATTAAGACTGGAGAGATTTTTGCCAAAAGCCTTATAGTTCTGAGATTGGTTTGTGTGCCTCTGGGTCCATGGCCGTGCTGGAGAGCTGCTTGTTGGGGGGGGGGGAGGGGTCGGTGGGCAACTCGTGGTCTCGGTGGGGTGGGAAGGACCTGCCGGTTCCACCTCCATGGGATGCCATGAGGTCACAGTTGCCCCGTCACCGCCAGCTCATACCTGGCTGTCCAATAAGCTCAGAGGTGGTGGCCACTGTGCTGCCAGGGAGAAGGGAGGGGTTGGAGAAAGGTGGAAGAGACAGACACCCTTTCCCTCCCAGGGAGGGCACAGCGCCATAGCTTGATGCATAGTCCATTCACATTTCTGCCAAAAGCTGCTGGGTTCCGAATTAGGTCCGTGTGCCTCTGGGGCCATGGCCTTGCTGGAGAGCTGCTTGTGGGGGGCAACTCGTGGTCTTGGCAGGGCGGGAAGGACCAGTGTATGGATTTTTTATTGTGTTTTTGTTGTGGGGCCATATCCAGTGGTGCTTAGGGGCTACTTGTGGTGTTGAGCAAAAAGACCTCCTGCAGGCAAGAATGCAACAAATGAAATAAATATGTATGTGATAAAATCTTTGGGATTGATATGTGATAAAATCTAAGTGAAGTTATTCTGACAAGAAAAAATATATTATCCCCCCATTTGATATTTTACAGAAGTGGAAATTCACTAAATTCCAAACAAAAGTAGTGAGTAAGTTCCTAGATTATTGTTCAATAATAGTACATAAACAGCACTGTCTGCACTGTAATACTGTTCTCCCGTTGTTCATTGATTTGCTCGAGCAGGCACCAGTGACGTCTCCATTGTGAGACTTGTTGTTGCTGTTTTTAGCATATCGAATATGCCAGGGGAGCTTCCCAGGCTCTGTTGTGCGGGCGGGATACTCTCGGTAGCTTGCCGGGATCTCCAAAAAGGATGGAGGATTCAAACTCGGGTCGACCACATGCAAGACAAATACCCTACCCACTGTTCTATTGCTCCAGCCTTGGTGGCCTAGGGGAACTGTAAAATAACATTATTAGCCTCAGATGCCCTTATTTCCTAGCACCCCCAAAGGCAGAGTCCCAGTGAGGGACTGGATGGACCCAGGGCAAGTAGTGAGCTATGTACTACCCTGACATCGATATGGGCCTGGCCAAAGTGCCTAATGCTTAACTATAAATTAAGAGCTTGGTCATGGACAAATGCTGTCATGATCCAAAAAGTAATAACTATATTCGGAACCTGCTAGGGTTAAGAATGATTAATCTGGCCTGAGCACTGTAGTCTGAGTCTGTGGCAAAATGTTCCAAGGAGAGCTGCCCTACAAACCTCTATGTGTCTCTTACTGTGTCCATACGAAAATAACTAGTATTAAGATGTTGATTGAGTTATTGGACTGAGGAAAGGAGAAAACCACCTTAAGACATATTTTGCCAGTGGGAAGTCAGTGTAAGATAACATTGGTTTGTCCTTTCTCCCTTGCCACAGGGAGCTTAGGTTTATCGGGTTACACCCATCATAATGCTCCCAAGTCACTCCCATTCCTCTGTTTATCTGTAAACTCTTCTCTGTACTCTCCTCCCCAGCCTTTTCTCCCTAATCAGATTCTATTAGTTTCTAAAATCAGATTCTTCTAAGGACACCGAACTTGTATTTTAAGTTATGTCTTTTGCATAGTTTACCTTAAAGCAATGTCCTTTCTGTATGGACACAGGAAGACAGTTAATATTATGCTTTGTAACTTGGGAATTGATTGACTCCAAATAATATTTACTCCTGGGCATCTGCTTTCTTGACTCAGTTGCCCTTAGTTCCTAGCACCCCAAAGCACGGTCCCAATGAGGGCTAAATGGACTCAGGGCGAGTTGTGAGCTACCCTGGCATCAAAATGGGCCAGGCCAAAGTGCCACAGTACTCAACTATAAGTTGAGGGTATAGTCATAGACAAGTGCTGTCATGATCCAAAGGTAATGACGAGACTAGGACCCTGCTGGCGCTAGGAAGACTAACCTGGCCTGAGGACTGCGGAATATATATTGAGATGTCCTCAGGAAGAACCAAACTGTAAGTTTATATCTCTTACTGTGCTCATACAGAATGATATTGCTAGAAATATTGGAAGTAGATTTACTACAACTATTTAAGTAGATTACTAGTTGAGGAAAGAACATACCCTCTTGGGACCCACCCTTGAGCCGATCGCCTAGTAATCTGGAATAATCTCTTTAGATGAGATTTTATCCTTGAGTTAATCTCCTGTCCTGGAGGAGTGTTCTTATCTCTCATTGTTGATTTGTTAATGTTCAACCCACCATCGTGTCACCACCCTACGTGATTGCTATATAAACTAAGGCTGTAAGATGGGGCGCAGGCTCCAGAGGGCAGATTCGGAAAGGAGAGGGGCTGAGGCTTGACAGAGAGAAGCAGAAGGGAAGTGAAGATTGGAATAAACTACGATTGATACCAACTAGCCTGGCCCTCATTCCTTCCTTTGCCTGCTCAGCACCATCGACCTCCCCAGGGTGGGGGAAGTGGCGTGAGACTACCGAATGCAGGTGGCAACAGAGCCTGGGAAGTTCCCCTGGCATATTCGATATGCCAAAAACAGTAACAATAAGTCTCACAATAGAGGCATTACTGGTGCCCGCTCGAGCAAATTGATGAACAGCGGGAGAACAGTATTACAGTGCAGACTCTGCACTCAGGAATTACTCCTGGCGGTGCTCAATGGTACCATATGGGATGCTGGGAATCGAACCCAGGAGGGCCATGTGCAAGGCCTACCTGCTGAGCTATCACTCCAGCCCCCAAATCCCCATTTATTTGTAAAAATGAATTTAAATTTACTGTATCAACCCTCTTTCTACCCTAAAGACTCTAATGAGGTTTTGAATGTGTTGATGTAGTCACACTTTTAAATGAAAAATTCACATCCTTAAGACTGGTGGCTTTGTAACAGCTGGTCATCCTGGCTCGGAACATGACCAGACTCTTCACTTATTCATGACTTTTTTCATGTTGCTCAGCTGCCGTATTGTAGTTAACCAGCCTTCCATGTCTCCTCCCATAATCCCATGCCCCCAGCTACAAAGCACCCACCTACCCCTTGTATGCAGCTCATAGACATTTTATATTTGAGATCGACGTTAATGAGATTCAAAGTTATTTTTATAAGTGTTAATATCTTTACATTTGTAATAACTAATACTTTTAAAATATTAGTATCTTTGCATTGATAGTATTTTGAAAATAGCTGAATTGTGTGTGCCTAAGAAGCACATGTGCATATATAAGATGTGTATATCTGCCTCTTGTAACTAGTCACTTTACTGAGGTTTTTAGGTGTTACTTGATGGACAGAGAAGTCTTCTCGAAAGAATGACTTTCACATTTTTCTAGCTTGTTAAAGGCAATTCTCTTATTCTCGGAGCTTCTTGGAGCTGCTACATGCTCCTGGGAATGGCAGATTTTAAAGTCAGCCTAGGTGTTACCATAGTGAATTTGGGCTTCTACCCTAAATGAGCTTGTTGTAGTGGACTTTTGTTCTACTGGATCCCATTATTTGGAGTGTGTGTGTGTGTGTGTGTGTGTGTGTGTTTTGTGTAAGGGTTCTCTTACTGCTGAGTTTCCTTCAGATGGAGCCTTGGCGCTCCTTCTAACCGGGATGTTTTCACTTCTCTGTGTTCCCAGTGATGCCAACGCCCCGTTTGCCCAGTGGAGCACAGAGCGAGTGTGCGCCTGGCTGGAGGATTTTGGACTCAGCCAGTATGTGATTTTTGCCAGGCAATGGGTGACTTCTGGGCACACTTTACTGACAGCTACTCCTCAGGACATGGAAAAGGTAAGGACTGGGCTCTGGATGAGAAGGTGCCATTTATTCCTAAACCAGCATGTGGGGAGCTGGATCCCAGGCCAGCACCTTCCTGCACACAGAAGGGAAGAAGGGGACAGGTCGCCGAGATTTCCTCTATCACTGCCTGTGTAGCTTCACCCAGACACACTCTGCTGAGGGGCAAACTGCTGACTGAAATTTCACTTCTGTCTTCATCTTTCAAATTCAGGAGCTGGGAATCAAACACCCTCTTCACAGGAAGAAGCTGGTTTTGGCAGTGAAAGCCATCAACACCAAGCAGGAAGAGAAGTCGGCATTGCTAGATCACATCTGGGTGACACGTAAGGACAGAGAATTGTGTATTGTGTTTTTGGTCACTCCGAAGGGCAGATGGTTTCCCTGTGAATGACTCTCAAAGACAGTTGTCTCCTTGGGAGAGGCAGATGAATCACTGAACTCTCAGGGGAACACAGCTAGAACTTACATTGATTATGGAGGCAAGAGACAGCCCAGAGCTGGGGTCATGCTATACAGGGGGCCTGGGTCCATCGCAGCACCACAGAATCTCTTAAGCACTAGCTGAAGTGGCCCCTAAACATTACTTAGTATGACCCCAAAGAAACAAAAACATAGATAATTTGATGTTCCTTTAAAAAATTTATTTAGGGTGTCTGGAGTGGTTAGGGCATTTGCCTTAGGACGTGGCTGACCTAGGACGTTCCATTCCCAGCATCCCATATGGTCCCCTGAGCACCGCCAGGAGTAATTCCTGAGTGCATGAGCCAGGAGAAACCCCTGTATATCACTGGGTGTGACCCAAAAAGAAAAAACAGTTATTTAGTTCTGCATCCACATTCTCCATTTTTCCTGAGTTTGAGCACACCCATTTTTCTGTTCCTGTAGGTTGGCTTGATGATATTGGCTTACCCCAGTACAAAGACCAGTTTCATGAATCCAGAGTTGATGGACGTATGCTGCAATACCTAACTGTGGTGAGGATCTTCCCTGACCACCTTCCCCTGTCCCATGAGCACTCAGCTCAGGGGAAGCATGAGGGTTTAATTTGGTTCCGCTTCCTCCTTCATATTCTTACACATTAGTATCACTGGTTACCTAAGAAGTTCCAGACTTTGCCAGTAGCAAAGTATACTACTGGGGTGTCCGTGGGTCACTTCTGGGTATGAGGGACTTGCCTATTAGGGAATAATCTTGGGGATCTTTTGTTAGATTAGAAACTCAAGTTTATCCACCAAAACTTTGCTTTTCCAGAATGATCTACTCTTCTTAAAAGTCACCAGCCAACTACACCATCTCAGCATCAAATGTGCCATTCACGTGCTACATGTCAACAAGTTCAACCCCCATTGCCTGCACCGGCGACCAGCTGATGAGGTGAGGACAGGGCCCTTCAAGCTGAGGTGCCCCAAGCTATGACCCCTGTCAGACTGTGTGCAAAGAAGTGAGAGGCCATCTCCACACAATGACTGCATCTCGGACTACAGTACTTGCGATTCTTTCTTTTGCTTCTGCTTCATGGCAACCCAACAGCCTTATCTGCACGTGTGACTGCAAAAGCTTTATGCAATGACCAGAGAGCAGAAGCAGCAAAGTTTCAAAATCATCATGATTCAAGGAGATGAGGCATGGGTACACAGGAGAGGAAGAAAGTAGAGAGGTGGTTTTAGTGTAGGAGAGCAAAGGAGAAAATTATAAAGAACCAGGTCTAAATTAATTGCCCTCCCAGCTACACAGGGGGTCCCTGACTAGGTTTTGGTACTGAAAACATAATGCCATAAATACAATAACCCAGTTCTGGAGAATCCCAGAAATAATTCAAGAACATTGGGGTTCCTGTTGGGTGCCAAAAAGATTGTCATTGCCCTGTTTTTTATATGCCCTGGAGCCTAATTTAGATGGACATCTTTCTCCCACCTTTCCCATCCTTGCTGGGATATCTGGAGGTCCCATATTTCTTGTGGTGCCTCTCAGGCATGCAAACTTGTTGTGACACAACTTGTCTCTGTGAAGCAGCACTTGGGGCATATCTCCCACCCGCAGGTGCTCTACTGGGCCACTTCCCAGGCCCCTATATGAATCTTTTTGTTTAACTGATGTAACATGGCTTACAGCAGTGTTATTGTTTATACTTTATCAAAGGCCCTCAAACCTATTGGGTCTATTGCCCCCTTTCCAGGGGAAAAAAAAGCACAAATACCTCTTGGCAGCACCCTAGCTAATACAGAAAGCTCCCTCACTCGCATCCCTGATTGTTCATGCCCCTTTCAGAGAACTGCCCACTTTAAGCACACAAAGCTCCAGCACCACTCTCACCACCAAATTAACATCATTTTGTTTTGTTTTGTTTTGGGCCCATACCTGGTGCTGCTTAGGGGTTACATCTGGTTCTGCACGTAGGAATTACTCTTAGCACTACACAAGGGTCCATGTGGGTTGCTAGGGACAAACCCAGGTCGACTGCATGCAAGGCAAGCTCTCTACCCATTGTACTATCTCTCCAGACCTCCTAAATTAACATTTTTCCCATTTAATTAATTTATTTTTATTTTTCCAATTTCCTCCTTACACTTTACATAGACACTGTGGTTTACAAAGTTGTTCATGATGATTTGTTATGGTATTCAATATTCCAACACCAATCCCACCACCATTACACCTTCCCTCCACCATTGTCTCCACCAGATCAATATCTTCATGCTGTAAGAGTAATCCTATTTCCTGGAGGATTAAAAATTTTTACTTCTACCTTTCATCACCTGTTGTCTCCCTATTCAGCAAGTATGAGCTCCTTCTAGAGGTCACCATGGTGCTGGGCATTTTGAAGACTCAAATGCCACTTGTGGGTACTAAACTTTAGCAGCTTAATTGCACTCTCCTAAAACATTTGGTGACACCAAAAAGATCTTTTGACTATAAACTACTTGACTTCTCATTGAGCTTTTATTATATAAGGGCTGGAGCGATAGCACAGCGGTAGGGCGTTCGCCTTACAAGCAGCCAACATGGCCGACCCGAGTTCGATTCCTCCGCCCCTCTCGGAGAGCCCGGCAAGCTACCGAGAGTATTCGATATGCCAAACACAGTAACAACAAAGTCTCCAATGGAGACGTTACTGGGCCTGCTCGAGCAAATCGACGATCAACGGGAGGGCCTTTACCTTTACCTAGTTACAAAGTTAATCGGGAAATTACAGAGCCTACTGGATTCTGGAATAAGATGTGAAGGTAGAAAATTCTGCAAAATTTTATGACAGCTACAGTTCTTGGAAACTGGGATGGCTCTTAGATTGGTCTAACTGTTGGGTCACTAGGTGTGAGGGTCTCATTCTGGAAAGACTCTGGGGTCTTTACTAGGCCCAGTTTTTTACTAGGGCCCACAATGGACAATAGTAGGGCCCATAATAAGATCTAACTTTTTTTCTCTCTTCTCCCTCTGACAGAGCAACCTTTCTCCTTCAGAAGTTGTACAATGGTCCAACCACAGGGTTATGGAGTGGCTGAGATCCGTGGACCTGGCAGAATATGCACCCAACCTTCGTGGGAGTGGTGTCCATGGAGGTCTCATTGTGAGTGGCTCTTTCTAACAGTCACCTACCTTGGTGGGTACCAGAAACTGTTTTTTCTTAAAGCCTGGATGTAAATATGAATTTTGTGGGTTTTTTTAAAAGTAGTGATTGTTTGATCTGAAACCCTTCATCATTCACATCTCATGGGAGGTATTTTGATAATTTGTGGTCAAGAATTAATATGCCCATGGAAACAAGACAGCATCAGGAGGGACTTCCTTAGCCCCAGAGAGAGAGAATTCTGAGATACAGGGGTTTTATGAGAAGCAACCCTGCCTCCTCTGAGAGGAACATGGGGGTCAAGGAAGGGAAGGGAAGACCCTCACTAAAACATAGCTTTTTGCTTGCCCCAACTGACCCGGTATTGCCACTCATTTGTCAAATGAAAAAATCAAAGGAAAAGGAAATAGAGGCAGCTCTGATTCCATCCCATCCACAGTGACCTGATAGCTAGAGGCCACAGTTCTGTCCTGGTCTGTGCGAATGAGGTAGTCAGTCAACAGAAGTGGTGCTGGCTTCTCAGAGCAGGGAGAGGATTGTGGGACACAGGACCAAAAGGGCAGTGTCAGACCCTGAGGCATCTGTGTTCCTCATGTGCTTTCTTAGATTCTGGAGTCCCGCTTCACTGGGGACACCCTGGCTATGCTTCTCAACATCCCGCCACAAAAGACGTTGCTCAGACGTCACCTAACTACCAAGTTCAACGCCCTGATTGGTCCCGAGGCTGAACAGGAAAAGCGAGAGAAAATGTCCTCACCTGCTTATACACCACTGACCACCACAGCCAAAGTTCGGGTGAGTTGCCAGAGCCTTTCTGGAGGGGCCCCTGGGGACAGACCCTCTGATCCTGGATTGGGGCACCCCTGAGGACCTTGTCTCTGGCCCTTGGATTATGCAGCATGACTAGCCACACCAGTTTCACCAGCCTGGGGATTCGGCTTGGAAATTTGGTCTGTCACTGAGTTTCAGGCTAGTTCCCAGCCAGTCTTAGTATCCAAGTTAAGAGCATGTGGGTCTCTTTACACAGTAATTCTGTGCAGGCAAGTTGGAACTTGTTGCCTTCTATTCAACACTGTCTTGAAAAGCAGATGAGTTTCCAAGTCTGGGTTCCCTTCAGTCAGGCCTCTCTGTGTGCCACAGTGCCATGGGGTCTTGGTCAGAGCTGTTCTGGAAACACAGGGACAGTCCTATGATCATCTGCTCTGCTTGGCCATGTGCCATGGAGGTGGCCAGTGCACAGCTGCCCATGCGTGCTAAGGCTCTCCACCATCAGCGCTTAGCACTGCTCATTGGTGCAAGCTGAATGCCACAAAGCCCATCCCACCTGCCTGGCCACACCCCCAGCATCCCCAGACCACTCTCTGGAGCCAGGATGGCCTATGTCCTGTCTCAGTGGTGGTAGCTGAGGTCCAGCTACGAACTATGCACAGACCTGAGGCACCCAACAGAGGTGTGCTGTTGTGCCCGAGTTTCAGATCCCCAACTGCAGAGAGACCAAGTCCACACACGATAATGTAAAAGCAAAGGAACTTTATTACTAGCCCAAGCCAGTGCTAGCTAGCCCAAGCTAGGCTCCAAGTGTCATCCAACACAGTGGAGTTTTGACAAGGACCCTGACTCCAACTCACAACCAGTTTATATAGGGTTCAGTCAAGAAGCGGTTTATATACTGATCTATTTTTAGCATTGCCCTATTACAACAGTGTTCAGCAATTAGCAGCAGGTACCAGTAACAGTTTGGGGTTCTTTCCAAGAAGGGTGAGTTGACCCCTCATGACTGGCCAGATCCAACTGCCCAGTTTCTTATCTAGGTGAATTACTCAACTGGGAGTTTATGAGAAACTGCAAGTCCTGCTCTGGGGAAACAGAAACTGAGGCCTAGCTGAGACTTTGTGGCACCAGTTTAGCCCTCACAGTGCCTCGGTGAAATAGTTCAGAACTGTGTTGGACAGTGCCAGAGAAACTGTGTTGAACAGTGCCAGAGAGAGAAGGAACCAGTTGGCTGGAAAGACAATACAAGGGTTAAGGCACTTGTCTTGCACACAGCTGACCCCAGTTCACTTCCAGCATCCCATACGGCCCCCTGAGCTCTGCCAGGAGTGTCTCTGAATGCAGAGTCAGGAGGAAGCCTTGAGCACCACCGGGTATGGTTCAAGAGATAAAAAAATGTGAGGGATGGGGGTGGGGAGGAAGTGTCCAGGTGATTTCTTGGGGAGAAGAGGTGGGGAGTGTACCCTTGCTGGGTGTTGAGGCGAGTCCAGCAGTCTGAAAGGAACAGTTCTCCCTGTTCAGGTTCACTTCTCTCTTGGTCTTTTCCTGCATAGAAATTTCTTATAGGCGCTCTGTTTAGTTCCGAATTCTATTTTTTTCTTTTTTTGGAGGGGGTGATGCCTGGCAGTGGGTGGGTGGGTAGGTGTGGTGAGAGTTCCCAGCTTAATGCTTGGGACCCACTACTGGCTGTATATGAGGGGCCATGCGGTACCAGGGATTGAACTCAGGGTTCCCACATGCAAAACACAGGCTCCAGCCCTTTGAGCACCACCTCCTAACCTCAAACCCATGTTAAGAGCTTTTCTAGAAGCAATTTGCATTATTCCTTTCCTCGTGGACCTGTGTTTAAGTTTCCTGTTAATCATCTCTGCCCACCGGCCTGATCATCTCATAATCTTGCCTTTGCTGTTTTAGCCAAGGAAACTGGGATTCTCACATTTTGGAAATATCAGAAAAAAGAAGTTTGATGAATCAACTGATTACATCTGCCCCATGGAATCCAGTGACAGTGCCGGGGACGGTCATGGGGTCTACAGCGGCTACCGGGTCCTCAACTCCCTTGATTCCCCAGAACTGGATGGGCTGGACCAGGTGGGACAGATTAGCTGATGCCCTTGTCACCTGCCCTCACTGTGCCCCACCCTGAGAGCTCACAGTAACTCTGCGTGTGTCACCTTCTCACTGCACCTCACCCCCCTGCACCTGTGCATGGCTCGCAGAGAATATTCCAGCAGTTGTGCATCCTGGGGCTCCTCACTTCAAACCCTGAGGTGGCCAGGTCATGGCATTGCGGGTTTGGGTGCTGCATCTTTGCTAAGGTTGCTGGCGCCTTTGGGGAACTATTTGCCAAAGTTGGACTCAGGAAGAAGATGCTTGTTCATTGGTAGCAGGTCTTTGCTGTTGATATTCAGCACCAGAGAAACACATGAACTTGGACCCAAGTCCAGAGAATACGGACAATTCCAGGGATCTTGGACCATAGGTGCCCTCCACTGCACTTCAGTTGAAGGCCAAGCTGAAGTGCTTTAAGCTTGTGACCACAGCCTGGGCCGAGAGGGCCTGGACCACAGTGAGGAGGTCTGTGTCACTGCCAGTGTAACCGTGTCGTGCCTTACCACAGAGGTGGTCGCTTCTTTCTGGTAATAAAAACAGTATTTATGTAGAAAACGAACAGTGCAGCCTCTCTTTCACCGTGGCGGGGAAAAGCGTCAGGCCCATCTGGGGAAAGAGTCCTGTTCATTTGTCCAACTTGAGAGTCAAGGGCATGGAGCCAGGTCCCAGGCTAGAGCCCACTGAGGATCTGCCAAGCAGATGAGGGGGTAGAGCAAGGAGGGACCCCGTCTCCATCAAAGTAGGTTGAGGCTTCGGCCTTCAGATCACGCCTCCAAACCTGTGCCTTATGCATAGCCTGTTGGCCTTGCCTGTCAGGAGGCCCCAGAGGTTGATGGTGGCAGTGGCAGAAACAGCCTTGTGATGGGGTTAAAGGGCAGATAAGAGGGTGGTATTACTGGAAGGGCCCTCTGCCCTCTCATGGGTCTGGCCAGCCTCTCTGTTACCCGCTACTATAGCATTTGGTCACTCTGTCCTGGAACAGACTGGTCCTTTGGTTTTGGTCGCTGACTCACTGATAATGGTCTTCCCATGAGGCCTGGGCTGGCTGAGGATAAAGTGACACACATGTCTCGCCAGCATGGGCTCCTGGTGAGATTCCAGTTTGCCCAGAGCCACTGAGTCTGGAGCCTCATCAGTAGAAGCCTATCAGCTGTATGGAAACTCTCAGAAGGCTGGAGCAGCGCCTAAAGATTCAAGGGAGCCACTGGGGGTTTGGTCCCCAACAGGGCCCCATGCCAAGACACGCTCCTTAAGTACCAGCAGCCTCAGGAAGTCCTGTCAGCTCAGGTCACGGCCTCCCTCAAGTCTAGCCAGTGGGAGAGGAGCCACTGGCTGACAGGCTGGTGTTTGAGCCAAGTCCTGGGGAACACAGAGTGGCAGAGGCTGCTGGGGGCTGAGAGCCACGCAGGGCAGCTGTGTGGCCAGTTCTGTCCCATATTTCTTCCCCTGTCCCAGACAGAGACAGTGCATGCGCCTGTTTTCACACCTGCATGGATGGAATTTCCGTGTTGCTAATTCTCTGCCCAGTCTCCTCCACTTTCCACCAAGACAGAAGTTTACTCTGGAGGCTTCAAATCTACACTAACATGGTTGAGGGAAGGAGTGGGCAGCTCCAAGGGGGTGGGGAGGCCCCCAGGGCCAGGATTCCCCACCAGTACTCACTGAGGGCACCCGGATGGCCATTAAAACTTTGGGAGCATCTTGGCGTCTGGGGGCCCATTGGTGCCAGTGATTGTCAGTGCACTCGGCACCCTGAAGTCCTGCAATCCCTATCGCTCCTGACTCCTGGAAGTGTCTGGAGCAACGGGCACGTGCAGAAGAGCTTCTGACCAACCATGCCCATCCTGCTGCCGGGTACCCTCGGTGCGGGTGCTGGGCTGGACCCAGGAGAGCACGTTCCTGACTACCTGCACAGCTGGGGGCGCCACCCCCACCCCATCCCAGGACCTCGCCGCCTGCTCCTTCCCTGCTCCCCCAGCCGCATGCCTGAGTGGCCCCGACGTGCATGGCCTCGCTGCGTGTCTGCGTGTGCTGACCCAGTTGCTGCCCGTTTTCCAGATGGTCCCTTCGGAAGGTGCTGTGCTGCAGATAGGGCTCCTCTCCCAAGACATTCATCGCCTCACGGTAGGACTCTGCCCCCCCTCCTTCCAGTCACACGGGGCTCAGAGCTGGAGCAATAGCACAGCGGGTAGGGCATTTGCCTTGCATGCAGCTGACCCAGGTTCGATTCCCAGCATCCCATATAATCCTCCAAGCACCACCAGGAGTAATTCCTGAGTGTGAAGCCAGGAGTAATCCCTGTGCATCACTGGGTGTGACCCCCCTCCCAAAAAAAAAAAGCAGTCACACAAGGCTCGTGAGACGCTGTAAGCTTGATGTGGGAGTGTCCCCAGCCCAGGACAGGGCCTGGCTCCTCATTTGGAGCCTGAGTCGCAACGCCTGCTAGGGGAGAGCAGAGGCAGGGGCTGGGGACCGCTCCAAGGCATGAGATGTGGCTTGCAGATGCGGCTGTGGGACCGAGAACTGTCGGGGTAACGGGAAGCATCATCATCCTTAGCTTCAGCACATGAGACCCCAGGCCCTTGTCTCGGGCAGAGCTGAGAGGAAATCCCAATATTTGCAGCAACTCCTGACCCCCAAACCCAGTGGACATTGCTCTGCCTTCCCTGCCCACGAGACATTTTGCTCTCACTTCCTGAGTAATGCTGGCACCTCTCCATGTCCACAAGGCAAACTGCCAGGGACAGGCCAGGAGGTCTTTGGGAGAGTAGGTGCCCCAGGCCAAGCCCCAGCTCTGGGGCCCTGGGCCAGCCATGCTCACTCAGCCTTGGCTGAGGTACCTGTGAAGCAGGCTTAGCAGCATCTCATTCCTATGGCTAAAGGCCCACAAGGGCCACAAGGAGAGACCAGCATGAAGAAAATTCTCTACCTTTCAGGGACCATTAGTTCTTGGGCTATACCCAGGGACTGTAACGAACGTGTCCACACTCTAGACCCTGTCATTACCCTTCACTTGTTGGTCCACTGAGGCACATTCAGAAGAATGTTTGTCCTAGTGAAAAGCAGAATCTCCTTGAATTCAGATGGAATCATTTAATCAGCTTCTGTCACTTGATGCCCGTGCTGAAATGGACATCCCCACCTTTGCCATTCTTACCTCACTATCACCTCTTTTGGCCTTGAAATAGCAACTTTGGTTTGAGAATAGGAACCGTTCTGTTTTGTCTCAGAGAGTCCTGCTATTGATTCTGAGCCAGGGAGCAGGGCCGTGGGAGTTTATAGGGTGCAGGTATCACCCAGAACCATGCTGTGCACCCCACTGCTTCCCATGTGGCCTCCCTGTTCAACTGTCCCCTTCGGCCGTGTCTTTTCAGACTCTTCTGAGCCAGGACCAGCTGCTGAACGACTGTGGCCCGGCCACTTCCAACTCTGAGGACTGGAGATGACTTTTGTCATGCCTGGGAGCACAGAAGGCATGTGGGGGGTGCCCCTGAGTCTGCTTCAGTGGAGAGCTGGCGCACAGCCAGGCGGCCTCTCGGACCAGGGTGCTGACAGGAGCCAAGTAGAGCTGTGGACCTGACACCCCAGAAGTGGCTCCGGAGACCCCACGTTTCCCACCGTCCCTTTGCTCCTCGCCGCTGCCTTTATACGTTTTATACTTTTCTATGTGGCTGCAGACTCTGAGGGGCGCCCGTGCAACGGTCGGCACAGACCTGATAGCTGGTGCTGTTCCTGGGGACGGCTGGGAGGCACTTGTACTCAACGGAGGACTTTGCGTTGATAAAGGCCCTGCTGGGGAAAACAGTTCTAGAAACTTCTGACTGTTCTGTAGTAACTGAGCTGAGGGAAGTGGACATAGGCTGCCCCCTTCTGGGCTGCTCCTGTACTATCCTCTGGTCTGGGGAGGGCATGTAGGGTGAGAGCAAGAAAGAAGGCCCCAAGACTCCCCACCACGGCTCTGGCCTCCCCTGTTCCCCGCACATCTGCAGCTGCACCCCAGGCTCCTTAGTGTCCCCCCCACCTCCCAGTCCCACAGCACAGGCGTCTCTCTCGCGCGCTCTCTCCCTCTCTCCCTCCTTCTCTCTCCTCTCTCTCCCTCTTTTGCTCTCTCCCTCTCTCCCTGTTTCTCCCTCTCTCTCTCTCTCCCCCCCCTCCCCCTCTCCCTCTTTCTCCCTCCTCTTCCTCTCTTTCTCTCCCTCTCTTTCTCTCCCTCTCCCTTTCTCCCCCCTCTCCCTCTCTCTCCCTCTTTCTCTCTCCCTCTCTCCCTCTCCCTCTTTCTCCCCCTCTCTCCCTCTCTCTCTCCCTCTCCCTTTTTCTCCCTCTCTCCCTCTCTTCTCTCTCCCCTCTCACTCCCTCACCCTGCATCCCAGCTAACATGCAAAGTACAGTCTTCAAATTCTTTCCTTTATCAGCCTCAGCCCAACTGTCCTTCACCCACCCCTCAGTGAAAGGTCTCTCTCCATCCTATATCAACAAGTTGCCACCACAAGCCAGATCTTCCCAGCCTATGTCCCAAACCATACTGGCCTCTCTCCTACCAGTTTTCCCCTTAGTGATGGCCGCCTTCTCCCCATCTCTGTAACTCGCCCATTCAGGCCTCACTGCATTCCCCCGGCTGAATCCTACATGATCCGTCACCTTTCCAGTGGATCCCGTCTGGTGTTTCTGGTCCCAGCCCCTGCAGGACCTTCTCATAGTACTATTTAACCTGGTTCCTTTTCCACTAAGATCACCTGAGTATTGCTCACTACAGATTGGCCTTCAAATATCCAGGACTGTAAACAAGGTCCCTCTGAGTCTCTGGCTTCTTGGCCCTTTGCCACAAGAATGTCCTTCTCGTCTCCTGGACATCCCCCCTGCCTGCCACTGGAAGCAGCCTCTTTCAGGAGCCTTCGCTGATGCTTGGACTGCCTGCTTCTGAGATGAGCACATCCCACCTCCCACCTGCCTTCTCCTGTACCACACCCGGCTGCAGCACCAAGTGCCCAGTGCCTGCTCCAGGCTCCTGGACACACAGGAGTAAAACCTAACTCTGGCCTTCAGATTGCTCACAAGTGCCATGCTGAGACACTCTTCAGTCCCAGTTCACTCCCACCCACCTTGGAAATCTGCCATGTTTAAGAAAACAAACCAGAAGTGCCCCCCAATTACACTCAGGGCTACTGCCACCTCCCAGATCATTCCAGCACTCCCCAAGGAACAGGGTCACTCTCTCTGGGAGACAGTGGTTTAGAGGGAAGGAGTTCTGATCTCTCCTAAGAAAGGCTGTGCTGAATATTACAGATGTTCCAATGAAGGTTTCTACGGACACAGAGTCCTTTTCAATGAAGGGCTGCATGTGCGAACTGGAAAACTTTCTTCTTGTTGTTTTATTTTGTGTTGCATCACACCCAGCAGTACTCAGGGGTTATTCCTGCCTCTCTGCTCAGGAGTGAGCCCGCCCTGGAAGTGCCGGGTGTGGGGGTGGGTGGGCAGGTATATGCAGTACTGGGGGCTTGAACAGGCAATGGCCACATGCATGACAGGTTCTTTACCACGTGTACTCATCTCCAGTCCCAGGAACTGGAAAAACTTTCAGGAAGAGGAAACACTTAGGCTTTGAAAGATAAATCAGATTCCCCGGATATGCCAGACAGAAAAGACACTCCAGGCAGGTGACCACGAAACAGCACAGCACATCCAAAATAGTGCCAAAAGTTGAGTTTTGTGACCTCTGATGCACTGTCATTGTCAGGGCCAGCCACTGTGGTGGCGCTGTCCTGGGTGCAGGGGAAGAATTCAGAGTATCATTGGGTTCCAGCATCTGGATCTCAATAGCACCTAATTGGGGCAAATCTTGCCTGACTGGCTGAATGTTCCCTGTACCGGGAAGGGGGGAACTCTTATTTGGGAAGCTCTCGATCACAGAATCCAATCACATGGGCAGCCTCAAAAAAGAAAAGGAGGAAGATCAGCTGGGATTCTCTCCAGAAAGGCTTCAAGCCCCGGCAATTTATCCTGGAGATAAAGGGTGGACAGTTGGGGACTGCAGTATGACTACGGCAAGGTCATCAGATCTAGGGTAGGATACGACTCTTCATGCTGTGCCCGGTGGAGCAGCTTTCTCTGAGAGGGGATTTGTGGAGGGTGCTCCAAGCATGGGGTCGATGGTGGCGACTTCCCTTCTCTGCACCCTGCACTGGCGTCTGTGACCATCCGTTGGTGGTAGGCCGCCCTGTGGGCCTCTCTCTCCTCAAACCCCCTGCCCGTTCCCCTTCCCTTCCCATACAAGTGATATCAAATTCCACAAGGTTGCCCCTATGCCAGTTTCCCACTATCTCTTTGGTTTGTTTGGTTTTAAGTTTCTGGAGTACATCCGGCAGTGCTCGGGGGCTACTCCCAGCTCAGTGCTTGGGGGACTGGGTGGTGCCCGGGATCGAACTCTGGCCTCCCACACGCAAAGCACACACTCCAGCCAAGCATGCGCTTTCCCCATGGAACTAATTTGGGATTAAACAGGGCCTAAAAAACTAATTTGGGATTAAACAGGGCTGGGTTTGAAGCTCAGCTCTGCCATCTGCTGGATGACTGGTGATATAACTTCATCTCTGAGCCTCTGCGGAACAAAGTCCCCAAGAAACTGTGGCTTGTTCATAAGAAAACACTGTCCTGTCCTCCCGTTGTTCATCGATTTGCTTGAACGGGCCCAGTAACGTCTCCATTTTGAGACTTATTGTTACTGTGTTTGGCATATTGAATATATACTCTCGGTAGCTTGCCGGGCTCTCTGAGGGGGGCGGAGGAATCGAACCCAGCTCTGCTGGGCTGACTGCGCACAAGGCAAACACCTTACCGCTGTGCTATTGCCCCAGCCCATGTTCATGAGAATGACAAGAAATCCATCACGAGCTGTACTGCACGCCCACCACACTGCAGCAATGGGGTTTTCATACCATGAATGACAGAAGGCAACAGGGGCCATGGGTAACCAGGGGGTCTAAGGAAGTGAGAGATTTAAGGAAGAGTTTCTGTAAGTAACATCCCTGTCTTGTTACAATCAGCATAGGCCAGGCATTTAGGGGATCCCCCCTCCCCACCAAAAGAGCGCCCTTTGCCTCCTCTGCTCCTGCAAAATGCCTTGGAGTCTAGTGTTCCTGGCGCCCACCCACTTCCCTGTTATGTCTGTTTGTGACGCCATTTATACACAGAGGGTGCTTGAACTCTATTAAGTCTGACCTTGAAAGCAGAACTTGTGATTACAGGGAACTGACAAAGACCCCGAAGAGAGTTTTCTGGAATTCTTCCCTGGCTGTTGCCAGTTATGGTTCTGCCAGGCACACTGAAGCACACAGCTCATGCACGTAGCAGACCTGGCCTTCCAGCTGCCACTCGTGCGTGCCCGAGAGCCACACCTCATGGGTCATCTGCTTTGCACTGAAGTTTATTTCACTAAATGATGGGAAATGATCCTAAAATGGACTTCCTCTGAGTCTCCTCAGGCAAGACAGTCCCAGAAAGTCATTCTGCCTCCATTTGCAGGTCTCTGCTTAGAAAGAGGACTTCCGAGGTGTTTAAGAGCACTTTGGATCAGATCCCAGTGTAACAGAGTGAAGCTGAACTTACTTAGAAAACCGAGGAAAGGGAGTTGACAGATATGCCGGAGACAAGGGAGGTGTTAGTAGACGAAAATCATCTCCTCGGTGTAACCCAGTTTCATCAGGTTAGGAAGAACAGTTCCCTGGATCATGATGGGTGGACCACACAACAAGATGAATGTGGAATTCCCGGGAAGAGGGAGGTGCATCTTTATCATGTCAGCGGTGACGTAGCCCACGCTGTACTCCCAATCTGAGGTGGAGGAGAAGCAGAAAAGAAAGCTGTGGGGCTTCCGGGTCTACCCTGAACCTTCCTGGGGTCTCCTGCCCTCTCTCTCTGTAGCGCTGGGACAGGAAGGCCAGGTGGATCTACAGGCTTAGCAGGCGACTTGTTTCCACAGAGAGTATAGCAGGGGAAATAGAAAGGAGAGGGCAGGGATAGGGGCATGGGTGGCTGGCCTCTTCAGTATTTACTTCAAATGTCAGGCTTGACTGCTGGGACTCTTAGGCCCCAGCTGGCATCTGTTGCATCTGAGCATTGGTAAGGAGGAGCCCATGGCTGGGTGTGGTGGGAATCAAGGCAGAGAGCTGTGTGGGCAGAGCCCAGTGGCTTCCCCCCCCACCCCCCCACACCAGCAGCTCAATTAGATGGTGCCATTTGCTAGGAAGCTTTGAGAAATGCAATGTGGAGAGGCGGGGAGAGGTACACTGTGGGAGCTAGACACTGAGTGGCTGGGGCGTCTCCTCAGTTCTAAGTATCTGAGGTTAGTAGTGAGGGCAGAAGGGCCGTGGCAGTATTAGATGCTTTGTGCATGGAGGTTACAGGGAATTCTGGGAGAGAGAGAGAGAGAGAGAGAGAGAGAAAGAGAGAGAGAGAGAGTGTGTGTGTGTGTGTGTGTGTGTATGGGGGTAGAGGTGACCTAATGTCTCTGTTCTCTTTTAGTGGTCAGTGCTATGTGGAGACACCAAATGCTTCTCTTGACCGTTCTCCTAAGCAGGTCATCCCAAATCTTTTTTGCCTCAAGCACCTGTATTTCCCACATGAAAGTATCACCCAAAGCCTCAGCTGAAATCCGACCTAAACACCAAACAAGTACTAAGAGCGCTTTAGGCAGTAGTTAAAGGATGGAACTCCCCATGGTAGAATCAATGGGGTTCATACCAGCAGGAGGCCTGTCCACGGTGTACCATAGTTTGAACTGGTCTTCATGAGTCCTAGCAATCTCTTCAAGTTCCGCTCTCACCAAGATGTCTTCCTCTGTCTAGAAAGGAAGCAACATAAACCGAGTGCCCAACCCCCATCCCACAATTATGTTCTGCTTGTTCCTCAGCCTGAGATTATGGTCAAAACATTCCTGCCCAAGCTGCTTCCCCTCTTTTTAAGTGCTTTTCCTGCAAACTTTGAGTCAGAGTGTCTATGGCCATCCCAGCTCCACCACCTCCTCTGCTCTCTGCTCTCTCTTCTCTGGGGCAATATATATATATATATATATATATATATATATATATATAGTAACACTGCCTTCCCATTGTTTATCAATTTGCACAAAAGGGCATAACCATTGTGAGACTTGTTATTATTGTTTTTGGCATATCCAATATGCCACGGGGAGCTTGCCAGGCTCTGCTGTGCAGACAGGATACTCTTGGTAGCTTCCCTGGCTATCCAAGAGGAAGGAAAGAGGATAGCCTCCTGGCTATCCAGGAGGAATCAAACTGGGTTGGCCACGTGCAAAGCAAATGCCCTACCCGCTGTGCTATCAGTCCAGCCTGTACATATATATATATTATAATATTTTTAATATATTATTATATATATATATATATATATAGGGATCAGACAAGATCGGGCGCGTTCAGGGTGGTGGAGTGATAGCACAGCAGGTAGGGCGTTTGCCTGACACGCAGCCAACATGGCCGACCCGAGTTCGATTCCTCTGCCCCTCTCGGAGAGCCCGGCAAGCTACCGAGAGTATCTCGCCAGCACGGCAAAGCCTGGCAAGCTTACCCGTGACGTATTCGTTATGCCAAACACAGTAACAACAAAGTCTCACACTGGAGACATTGCTGGGCCCGCTCAAGCAAATCAATGAACAACGGAAGGACCATGACCGTGATATATATAGGGGGTCACCTCAGAGACTAGTCTGCTTGTGGGACCATTATGTGATGCTGGTGATTCAAATCAGGCTGGATAGGATGCAAAGCAAGCACCTTATCCCCTATACTCTCTCTCCAACCCCATAATATATAATAGTACCAGAAAGGAAAACAGAAATTATAATCTTAATTCAGAGGGAAAATGTGGTAGCATCAAAAGTGATCTGTCAGAGGCTCAATGATAATGCACAGTAACATCATGATTCTGATTCTGATAGTTCCACTTTGTGAGTCATATTTATTCTTTGATTTTTTTTTTAGGGTGAAGGTCTTCTAAGAGATGCTCAGGCAGCCTAGGGGCAACTTCTAGCAATACTTGGTCAATACATCAAGGGCCAGGGATGCAGTACTGCTCAGGGCCTGCCGTGCCAGGGACGACCAAGGCCAGGCTGGCAGTGCTCCGCAGCTCTTAGGACCCTTACAGCCGGGGTGCCTTGTGGTATTGCAGATGAAGCAGGGATCAAGCACATAAGGCATGTGCCCTAGCCACTGACTATCTCCTAGCCCTGCTGTATGATTTACTGAAAATTATCCGAATGGGGAAGGAGAGTGGTAGGTGATGACACAACCGAAAGGACTATGTTGAAAATACAAAGAATTTTAATAAAAAGATAAAGCCTGTGTGGTAATGTTGAGAAAAACACAGGGGTTGGAGTGATAGCACAGCAGGTAGGGCGTTTGCCTTGCACAAGGCCGACCTGGGTTTGATTCCCAGAATCTCATATGGTTCCCCCAAGCACCGCCAGGAGTAATTACTGAGTATATGAGCCAGGAGTAATCCCTGAGCATCACCGGATGTGACCCAAAAAGAAAAAAACCTCACACATAAAAACATTTTGTTGTCAATAGATAATAATTTTAAAAAAATAGGCAAAAAAGAGCAAATATCTAATTGTTCCTGTATTTTCTAAAATTTCCATGAGGGCATCTATGATTTTACTTTAGAAAAGCACAGGAATGCCTATTAAAAGAAGGAAGGAAGGAGAATTTAGTTTTGGGGGTAGACTATGCCTGTTTTGTTTGGTTTTTAAAGGGAAAGCAGCCAGGGGCCTCGCTGGATCTATGAACCTTCCCAGAACTGCCAGCAGTCCACAGTGTGAGCTCAGTGTGTGGGGAGGGGTGAGGGCAGAGCTCAGCAAATGCTCTGTCCCGCCCCACATGCTTGGAACTGACTCAGCGGAACAGACCTGGTTGGCAAAGAGCAGAGAGATCTTGGTCTTGTCAGCAGGGTTCTTGATGATGTGCCGGATGAGCTGCAGCATGGGCGTGATCCCTGGAACACAGGACACGGACTGGTCAGCTCTCTTTCCCTCTTAGTGCCCACAGCCGCTGCTCTATGAAGTTCAACAGTTTTCCTTGCCCCCAGTTCTATAATTTTGAACACCCCTCCAACCTCGGCATCAATACCAAAGTGGGGCATCACCCTTCATCTTGGTTTTCGCTTCTGACACAACAGTACCCCAAAGTCCGTTCTCGTTGTCATATATGATGGCAAGGATGTGGCTTTGGGACAGGAAAGGGGGTTCCTCCCCAGCTCTCTCACTAACTATCTGAAGGAGGTGAGTCATGTCCTGCAGTCAGTGGCTGTAGTCCTCACTGCCCTCATCGTAGAACAAATAATGACAAGTATGTGATGATCTGAACATGATTATTACAGAGCCTGGCATGATGTAGTGTCCTTACATGTTAGTTTCCTTTCAGGTCTTCATTTTCAAGGGGTGGGGTTCAGGCTTGAACTGGATCCTTGGGCGACCATGTGTGGGTCTTCCCAGGCAGCTCCGTGATGCCCAGACTGACTGTAAATGTTTCCCAGACTCCTGGGGCAGATGTTATATTGGTTGAAGATCAGGACATAAAGGGCCCATTCAAGGCCTGTTGGGGACACTGCATTTCTAACTGAAAGAGCCAGGGAAGGAGTCCCTCACATCACCTTTCCAAAGGCAATCACAGTCTCAGAACTCACCCTGTAAAGCCCCCAGATGCCTCTCACCTGTGCCCCCAGCAATCATTCCCAAGTTCTCAAACACTCTTGTTTCAGGATCATGTGCAGTCTGTGTTCTGATGGAAATATCTCCTGAAACACAGAGGAAACTTCTGACTTTTGCTGCTCCTGTGAGCATCTGCTGAAGATCGCTGACTTTCCTGGAACTCCTAACAGGCAAGGCCACTGGAGGAGGTGGCTGTATCGGTTCAAGTCAGTTCTGGTGACAGTGGCCTCGCTAGCCCCAATACACTGAGATGGGAACCCACTCTGCACCTCCTTCAATATCACTAGACCTTTCCTTCTGAGAAAGGAGGGAAGCAGGAAGCTAATACAATACCCAAAAGAGCATTTTAAAAAAATGTACATCAGTAAAGAACAATGAATATGTACAAAGATGAACAAGGATTCTTTCCTTCTTTCCAAGAGTCATTCATCTCTCTCCACCCTTCTCTCCACCCTTCTATCCATTCTTTGGCACTAGCCTACACCTTTGATCACAGTAGTGGTGAGAAAAATCTAAATCATTCCCCTAATAATAGTGAGGTTTACAATCTTGTAAACTAAGTGGACTTTAAGGACATGCCCATATATCTCAAAACTGAGACGTTTACTATAACAATGAAATCATTGTATGTATCTTCTTTGTCCTAGCTGGAAGTCCAATGACAATTCACAAGTACCTGGTGCATTATAGACCAGACGTCCAGTCGGCCCCCGGAAAAGGATGCAATCCCCAATTTTCATGTTATCCAAGTACTGACTCATCTTTCCCCCTTCTGGATGACTGGCATTTTTAAAGTAGACCTGAGAAATAAGACAGCACAGTTTTCACACCATCAGACCCAAGTCTACAGCTGCATACAAATCAAAAAGCATTTCTCTGCTACTGGAAACCATCAGAGAAAATCTGCCCTCACAGTTGCTGTAACTAAAGTCTTTAATTCTTGAAGACTTCACCACGTCAACTGTGGCGCTGTTGAATGACACTGCTGGGATGCAAGAGACAGTGTAGGAGTTAAGGCACCAGTCTGTTGTACAGAGTTGGACCCCCAGTATCACATGAGGTCTCCTGGGAACTGACGGGAGTGACCCCTGAGCACAGTCAGGAGTAAGCACTTCTAGATGTGGCTCAAAAACAAGCAAACAAACAAAAACACTGTTGGAAAGCCACGTCCAGGGTCTGGTTTCCTCACTTACATGGTCTGTGAGGTAGAGAGAGCTGAACAGGATTGAATCATTTACCTTTACAATCAAATCCACAAAGCCTTGATCATCATCACTGGACACTGGTGTGTAAGGTCTGGTGACTATGTTGTCATTGATGGAGGCTATGAGATGGACATAGTGACCTACAGAGAAAGGCATGAATAGTAAGTCTGAGTGAACTACACATTGTGCAGCAGAGCGCATGGGAGAAGGAAGAACAGGCAACAATTCAGGCTACCCTCTTGTCCCTCCTCCTTGTGCTACCCTGGGAAAACTCCATCTTCTTGCTCTGTGAATGGGAATACTGTTTCTTTTTTGTCTCAGTCTACAGCTACAATTCTGAGCTTCATGTAGATGAACTATCAGAGAATGCCTTACAGATCAAGGAGGACTAATGTTGGAGGCTGGGGATTAAAAATTATAAGGGGGCAGAGATTTTATTCAACAAGCTACAGTAAAAGCAAAAGCATGTAGAAAGTCTGCATTCAATTCTTGTTTGTGTCTGTTCCCTTGAGCCCTACCAGGAGTAACCCTGAGTACAGAACCAGGAGTAGCCCTTGAACATCACTAGATATCATTCCCAAACTCTAAAAAATATCAGAAAGAATTGTTTTCATTTTAAAGCAATATACGTTGCCTTCACAAAGTTTATTTTTCTGAATTGGGTGCATCATAGGGACTGTGAATGAATTATGGTCCCCTCCATCTGAATCCTTCTGCCTGGAACAGAGCAGTCTGGCTGCACCATTATGTTGAGTCCCTGAAGTTAGACGCCCATGGAGCAGGAGATCAACAAGAACAATAACTCTGTGTCTTTCTCACTAAAGGCCCTACTCAGTGGAGCAGGGACAGTGCGAAGAACCCTGCTTCTCAGCATTCCCAAACTATAATGGACCAGGTGTGGCCACAGACCTCTGGATGACGACTAGATCCCAGAGAGATGACAGCTGGGTAACTTATTTATCTATTGGGTTTATGATAGGAGACATCAGTGACTATGGCAATTTGTGGCGAGGAGAGAGATGCTAAGAGACTGAGGCCAGAGAAAGCTGTGTGCCACAGTCTCTGCAGACATGGGCACTAACAGCAACAGGAAACTGGATGACACAGGAAGACCGAACTAGTGTGTAAACAGTAGCACAGATCTAGGAAGAGTGAGAGGAGGGGAGGAGGGGAAAGAAAGAAGGTGTAAGAAGAGATAGTCATTACATCTGTTTCAGGAACATAAACCAAAGTCTCAGAGGTGGCACAAATACTCTGGGTGAAGAAAGTATAGGCTCAATGACACGGGTAGGGACCTGGTTTGGCACTAGGGTCAACTTCAGAATAAATGTCGGAGGCAACTTCCTTCTGGGAGTCTGAGACTGTAAATGTTAGAAAGGGTCTTTCAGATTGGCATTGCTAGAGAAAATGGGGTTACACCAGCTGGTCCCACGGGGCTCATCTCTAACCAACTTCTCATTAAAGCACAGGAATGATGAGTAAGCTCTGAGTTTTTACAACAAATTCTTCCAGAAGGTTCCAAATTGCCTTGTCTCACTAACTTTGCACTGCCAGCCTCAGAGCCAAGGAGAGTGACTCATGGCAGATACTAAAAACTGCACTGTCCTCCCGTTGTTCATCGATTTGCTTGAGCAGGCACCAGTAAAGTCTTCATTGTGAGCCTTTTCATTATTACTACCTTTTGGCATATCGAATACGCCATGGGGAGCTTGCCAAGCTCTGTCGTGTGGGCGGGATACTCTTGGTAGTTTGCTGAGCTCTCCGGGAGGCACTGAGGAATCAAACCCAGGTCAGTCACATGCAAGGAAAATGCCCTAAAGGTTCTTCATTCTTTCTGCCTTTTTTTATAGCAGGGCTGGCCTCACAAGGCAGACAGAGGGCTAGGAGGCAGCCATCCAGTACTAAGCTTCTATAGATGGAAAAGGAGCAAGGAAGCCACGAGGAAGCTGAGAGTCCAGGTTGCTTATCTACTATGTAATCTTGATACCAGAATGGGTGAGGTCAAGGTTTTGTCCTGTGTCCACAAGACAAGCAGGCCATGGATTAGGGTCTCTATCTAGCAGGGAGCGCATAGGAGTTGATTCAAAGCTCTGGATCGAGGCTGTGGGAGTTCCCACCTCAAGCAGGCTGACTTAGTCGGTGGCTGATGTTACAGACTAGAAACAGGGCAACTTCAACTCCAGGATGCTATAGCTCCTGTCCATAATGAGGCTCTTCCTGAGTGGGTAACTGATGAGAATTCATGTGGTAGGAGGGTGTGAGGGGGAAGGCACCAACTCCCCCATATTCCAGGTCTTTCTACTGACTACAAGGGGATCATCAGCTACTCCCATCCTACCCATGAAGAGGCACTTTGCAGTTTCTGAATTTTCACACCCACCACTTACAACTCAAGTACCAGGGAGATCTAAGAAACCCCACTTCATAGATGGGGCCCCGAGGGGTTGACAGACTTGTCTAAGTTGGCTCTACAAGAAGCCTGGTGAGATCTTAGACTTGATTCTATCTCACTTTTGCTGTTGTTTCTATCATGGTGCTGGAGACAGAACTGAAGACTTCACACAGGAGCCTAGAAAGTGCTTGACTGCTGAACCTTAGCCCTAGACTCTAAACTCACTTCTTTTCAGTGCTTATTAATACTTTCATGTTTGACCAAACTGAACAATGAAGGTCATAGACAGTTTTCAAATCCTTCTCATCTTCCCTAGGCTCCTGTGGCTCAGAGAAGCTACCGGGGCCAGGTGGCGCTCAGCTGTGTCTAACAGGAGAGTCCCAGCCCTGCGAGGCTCACTAGGCAACACTTACCGACAGGAAGGCCTAAGACATGGTCTGGTGTGGGCAGCTTAAAGCGAAACCTCCGAGTGTTGTGGGTGATTTCCTGATAAAAACAGAAAGCAGGGGCAGGCTCAGTCAACTTTCTGGATGCTGCCCTGAGCCGCTCAATTGCCTGGGAAAAGTACTCCTGAGCCCCCAGCATGAGAAAGCAAGCCCAAAGCCAACCCACTTCTCATTCCCCATCACTCTCGTCTCTCTCCCTTTCACCTCTGACAGCTGAGGGGAAGGGGGAAATTCTTACTTCTTTCTCAACCAAGGCCAGTGGGTATTTGGTGTCAGGGTCTCTTAAGGTGACAAGCAGTCTCCTCCTCCGTGAGTTGAGGCCCCTCACGGTTAACACCAGCACGGTGAGCCCGATAGCAGTGATGGCAAGGATCAGCGGCGGTTCCTAGTTAGATACCGGCAGGGCAGGGACAGGTCAGCTTCTGCCTGTCTTGGGCAGGTCAACTCTCAGGCCCCGAGGCCCCCTCTCCACACCTGAGGCACAGCCGGGGAGAATGGAAGAGAGAAGGACTCCAACAGAAAGGGGTGCAGAGGGGCCAGAGCTATAGTACATGGTTAGGGAGTTTGCCTTGCACACAGCCTACCTGAGTTCGATCCCTAGCATCCCATATGGTCCCCCAAGCACTGCCAGGAGTAACTCCTGAGTGCAGAGCCAGGAGTAACCCCTGAGCCTCGCTGGGTGTGACCCCTCCAAAAAGAGAAAGGGGTGCAGAATGCTTCGCAACGGATGAGGGGGGGCTGACGAGGCTCCGTTTGCCCTTAAGCCTCCGTTCATGTCTGCTGGGTCAGGGGCTTGACTCCAGCAATCAGTGGCAGAGATGTGCTGTCCTCTGGCTGTGCCTGAGAACTGGGGTAGGGCTGGCATTCCCCTACCCTCTGTGCAGACTTAGCCTGAATAGAGGTAGGAACGGGTGAGAGACACCAAGACACCAACGAGGCGGTGCCTCAAGATCTTTGCACCTGGTGCTGGCAGTGGAGTCGTGGGTGCCCACCTGCCCCTATCCCCCCTATCCCGAGGCCAGGAGGAAGCTTCACTTCTCCTCCTCAGCCCTGTCTCCTATCCTTTCAAGCGCGGCCTGTTTCCAGCCTGACCCCTGTCAACTGGCCCACCCTCCTGCATTCTCCAGCTCGGCTGCAGTTGGTGGCCCGGGTTCCTTGGGTCCCTCCGGCGGGCGGTGGGGGGGGGGGGATTTCCCTCACCACCCCCCTTTCCCGTAGGACCGCGTCAAGTGGGCATCTCAAGCCACTAGGGGGCTGGGCCCCCGCCACGTCGCGGCCACCTGGTAGGACCAGCAGAACATGTCTGTCGCCGCGGGAGGTGGGTTGGAAGGCGGGAGGCGAGGCTCCCCGGCGCTGGGACCCTTTGACTCTGCCTGGGAACTAGTAGATGGGCCCGGCCGCCGCCGCCGCAGCCGCAGCCGAGGAGATGGTGGGCGCGCGCTGACCCCCACGCCTGACCCCAGCCCGCGACACCCTCACCGGCCTCCTCTCGCGGAACTGCCGAGCCGACCCTTCCCCCTGCCTCCCCCTTTGCAGACAGGCGCGGGCGCGCCCACGGTCCTCGGCCTCGGCACACTGGGGACGCGCGCAGCCGGGTCCCAAGGCCGGCGCTGATGCAGGGATACCGGGAGGGCTGGGGGCGGGCGGACTGAAAGCCTTAAAGGGCTTCGCAAGGATAACCGGTCAGTACTTGTGTTTCAAACCATGATGCCCAAGAGGAAGGGGGGGGGGAGGGGGGAAGGGAAAGAGAGGAGAGAGAGAAAAAGAGAGGAAGGGAGGGGAGGAGAAGGGAAAGGGATAGAAAGAGAGAAAGAGAGTGGAGGGAGAGGGAGGGAAAGGGAGGAAAGGGGGAAGGGAGGAAAGAAGGGAGGGGGAAGGGAGGAAGGGAGGAAGAGAGGACAGAAAGAGAGGGAGGGAGGGGAATGAAAGGGAGGGAGAGAGAGAGAGAGAGAGAGAGAGAGAGAGAGAGAGAGAGAGAGAGAGAGAGAGACTGTAATTTGCAATAGAGATTGTAGGCTGGGAAGGGAATAAGGGTGGTGGCCGGAGGGAAACTGGGGACACTGGTCATGGGAAATGTTCACTGGTGAAGGGCTGAGTATTGGAGCATCCAATAACCCAATCATGAACAACTTTGTACCTGTGTATCTCATGGTCATTTAATCACTTAATCACTTAACTTCCCGTTAGTCATCGATTTGCTCGGGTGGGTGCCAGTAACGTCTCCATTTGTCCCTGTCAGGTGTTAGTGTAGCCCAATGGCATCTGTTCGCTCTGGGAACATGAAGAGCCTCAAACCGATCATTCATGATCTTGATGAAGAAGTCTGACCATCTGGTAGATGGGCGGCCACGTGGTCTTTTGACATCCCGTGGAGTCCAGTCGGTAACAGCTCTAGTCCAGCGGTCATCTTTAAATCTCATTACGTGACCAGCCCATCTGACTTTTGACACCTTGGCAAATGAGACAGCATCCCTGATTCTTGATCGTAGACGGATGTCAGAACTCCGGATTCTTTCTCTCATTTGAGTGAAACATGATATTCCAAGCATAGCTCTTTCAATTCTTCTTTGGGAGACCTGAATAGCGTTCTCATCCTGTTTGTGTAGGGCCTAGGTCTCTGAGGCATATGTTAATGCAGGAAGAACAGTGGAATCAAAGAGATGTGCCCGGAGCCGGAGGTTCTTCGTCCTCTTAGCTATTTCTTCCACGTTCTTGAAGGCGTTCCAAGCCGCTCTCTTCCTCCTGTACAGCTCGGTTGCCAGGTCATTTGTCATGTTGACTTCTCGACCTAGGTACACATGGCTGTTGCATTCAGAGATGGTCATTCCGTTGAGAGCGAATGGGGCATCAGGAACAAGGCTGTTTCTCATAAACATTATCTTCGTAAGATTCAGCTGTAGTCCTACCTTTCCACACTCACAGTCAAAGTCGGCCAGCATTTGTGCCGCTTGGCTGATGTTTGGTGTTATTAAAACAATGTCATCAGCAAAGCGGAGGTGGTGTAGTTGCCGATCATCTATCTTCACGCCCATTCCTTCCCATTCCAGTCATCGCATGATGTTCTCGAGGGTGGCACTGAAGAGTTTCGGTGAAATGGTATCACCCTACCGAACCCCTCTCTTGACATCAATAATTACTTCTTTGTAGAATGGTGAGATCCTGGTAGTGAATCGCAATACAGCTCACGGAGGATCTTGATGTATTGGGCTTGAATGCCCTGATTGGCTAGGGCTTCAATGACCGCTTCCATCTCAACAGAATCAAAGGCCTTCTTTAAATCAATGAACGTTAAACAGAGCGGCATCTTGAACTCCCGAGAAACCTCAAAGAGCTTGGTTATCGTGTGGATATGGTCGATGGTGCTGAATCCTTTGCGGAACCCGGCTTGCTCGCATGGTTGTCCTTCATCTAGTGTTCCACCAATCCTATTTAGGATGACTCGAGTGAACAACTTGTAGATGACAGACAATAGGCAGATCGGGCGATAGTTGTCAATGTCATGGATGTCTCCCTTCTTGAACAGTAGTACGGTCCTGCTGGTTTTCCATTGGGACGGAACCTTGCATTTAGACAGGTAGCGTGTGAAAAGCCGAGCCAGTGTATTGATGAGTACTGATGGCAGGTTCTTCAGGTGTTCAGGTGTATCTCATGGTAATTCAGTTAAAAAAATTGACTAAAATAAAATCACTAGAACTCAAAAAAAATTAAAATAAAATCTCTACTCGGAGGAGTGTTCATTCATTCACTCATTCATTTGCTCATTCATTAGTACTGGAAGAGAGATGAAAAGTCCCCAAGGCAAGCATAAAGGTAGGTGTAGATGATTGTGAGGGTTCTCAGAGAACATCTCAGGAAACCCTCCCCTCCTCCAATCCAGTGGCCATTTGGCCAAGTTGCACTCCTCCCCTCTGGACACAGGAGCTAAGACTTGATTCCCACCCCTAGCCACAACATACCCTGCAACCTCCTCAATGTCTGCTGGCACCAGGAGATTCCTGCCAGACAGCTCATTTTTGAGGCTCTAATGAGTGTGATACAGTAGCTAGGAATCTAGTAGTAAAGAAAGTAAAACATCTTCATAGACTTATTTTCCATGTATTTTCATTTCTGGAAAAAAAAGAGGAAAGCTTGCTCATATTTTTTGACTTTTTCCATTTATTTATCTTTTTCTGTTTTTAAAATTAAAACATATATATATATATACATTCTTTTTAGTTTGGGGGGCACACCTGGAAATGATCAGGGCTTACTCCTGGCTCTGTGCTCAGAGAGAGAATCCCTGCTATCAGACTTAGGAGGCCACATGGAGTGCAGGACATTGAACCCAGGTTGTCTACATGCAAGGTAACTGCCCTACCTGCTGTACTATTGCTCTAGCCTGTATATATATATACTATATATATATAGTATAGATAGATAGATAGATATGTGTGTGTGTATTTTTAGATCACTTTTATGCTTAATATAAGAGTTGCAAGTATTTCCTCCAATTTATAACATATTTCCCCTTTCTCTTCCCACCCCTTCTCTACCAGAAGTTTCTAATGGCAGTGAAATCACTGTCAATCTTCAATCTCTTGCCTTTATGACAAATGTAACCTATGTTTTGAGACCTGTGTATTCTATCCAAGGTCATAAAGCTGACATTTTCTCTGAAGGTATTTATATTTTTCCTTTCACATTTAAATTTCTCAACCATTTGGAGCTGATTTTTCTGATGTTAGATATGGGTATGATTTAACTGTTTTTATATGAATAATATGCCTCAGTAACAATTGAAGTACATGGTTAAGTACTTTTTCATTTAGGGTCTTCTCTTATTTGCTGAAAGGACCTGTGGATTGGCTAAGGACCAAGCAGGTGGCCCTCATTAATTAAGAAAAGTCAATACTTTTAAAATTTTATTTTTAATTTTATTTATATTGATACTATAAGTTACAAAGTTGCTCATAATAGAATTGTTTCAGGCATACCGTGTTTCAACACAAATCCCACCACCAATATTCCCTTCCCTCCATCTAGTCCTCAGATTCCCTCCTACCCTCTAACCTCCCTCCTTCCCCCACCAGCAGGCATAACATTTACTTTATATTACTTGTTCCAATAAAACTTAAAGGGAAGGTAAATGGAGTTATCAGAAAATAAATCAATAAAAGTCACTTTGTGATAATTGCTATGTGATTTTAACCTATGTAAATAAAATCCAAATCACTTAAAACAATAGAGTGCTCTGCCTGTACTCATTTACATAACTAAGTTTTCAGTTCTAGATTATAAAATATTACATTAAATTTGATTTTGTACTTGGATCTTATTATGTCTTCTCTATCATACATTTTCAATTCTGTGCTAATATATTTTAGAGTTTCCATGAAATAGGCAAAGCTTACAAGTGTAAAATTTAGTAAGAGTGAAGAAACTTAAGAAAATTTAAATCAATAATTTAAATTAATAACTTTTACCTGTCAGGGCCAGAGCAATAATACAACAGATAGGATATGTTCCATGCATACAATCACTCTAGGTTTCATTCCCCGCAACCCCCATCCCACCTAGAATGATTCCTAAGTGCAGAGTAACCACTGAGCACTGTTGGATGTGACCCCAAAACCAAAATAACAATTACAATATTTTTTCTCTTATATCAGGTTTTCTCAGATTTGATCAATGTGAAGATGTAGTCAGCATGGTGATGGGGTGACTTCAGACAATTTACATCCTATTCATATCACTTACTTAAGTATGTAATTACACATGCGGAATTTTTAATTTTTAAATGAGCGATCCTCTTATTAGCCTGAAAGTCCATATGGTGGAGACCTTGTTTCCACAGGACATACTATTTAGCTCTCAAAACGTAACATTTAATAAATATTTAATGAAAGAATAAGTTAATGTCTGTTCTGTGGCATTTCCCACCTGGCACATGGTAGATGATCATAAATACACAAGAGAGAAGCAATTCTTTTCATCAATATTCTAGGCCTTTGTCTTCTATTTTTTTCTTAGTAATACGTATCTCCAGATAATGTAGTGTATATTTTATTACTTATTTATTGCCTCTCTCACTTGTATCCTGTCCTAGTACAGTGCCTTCAATTGGCAGGTGCTCAATGGCTATTTATGATACAGATGAATGACAAATGAGTGAAATTCAGTTCCCCCTTTGACTCAGTGAACAGTCTATGTCTGTCTGGGAAGCAGAGGTACCTCACCTTTTCCGAATTTGATACTAGAGAGGCATATAGCACCTCCTCCTGTATTAATCTTGGAGCAGGATAAAAGACAGGCATTTATCTGG